ACCTCTTGTTTCTTTTTAATTTTGGTTCAATCGGATGGAGGTATAATATTATAGATATGGGTACAACATCTGAACTATAGTCTAAATAATAAATTTGAGGTTTCTCGATATTCTAAGCTCTGAAATAGTTTGGTGTTTAAAGTTCGACTCAAGCTTTAAAAAGTTTTTGACGTTTTAAGTTTTGTCCGATTTGCCTGAAACTTATTTTCAAAGCTCTACATAAGAACTTAATGTATACGTGTTTCAGCGATTATGGAAATTCCACTCGCAGCAGTGGTAAATTGGCGGAAAACGGATGTATGAAAGTTTTTTGTTTACCATATGATCAGTTTCAAAATCATTTTCAAAGTTTTTTGAAAACATTTACTTTACGCGTGCCACGGGGAAGCCCGGTTTATACCCGCTAGTATGTTATATATCTATAAGCGTATGTACTTGTGATGTAAAAACATATACATACGTACATATGTTTGTATATGCTGTACGTATGCACACAGGCCGGCCTGCAAGCTAAGAAGAAGCCTGTTGGTCACATAGCATTGCGCATTGGGAAATCACATATACATACATACAACATGTGTGTACATACATACAACATGTGTGTACATACATACATACATACGTACATACATACATACATACGTACATACATACATACATACATACATACATTCGTATTTTCATAGCCATGTATGTAGATCTGCCGTACACCAACAAATTCGTGTGCGAAAATTTAACTGCATGCATGTGTTGAAATTTATTTGTACAGATGTGCGTATACATGCGTACATAATTACATATATACATATGTACGTACATATATGTATATCTACAAAATGTTGTATAAAGCTAGCTTGCTTTTGGACATTTTGTGCGGTTTGCATTCACACACATACACGCATACACACATACACACATACAGGTACACAGTGAATGACGCGCCGACACCGACACATTCGACTCTCACGCCATAAAAAGAGAGAGCCAAAGCCACAGTGGGTTTTGTTTCGAAAGTTTTTATGAAAATTAAAGTTAACAAACTTGTATTCAGTATTGAACATTATATTAGAATCCTATTCGGAAATGTGGAGCATTAAATATTATGATATTTATAATTTTTGTAATTTTCCATCATTTAAACAAAATATCCAGTATACCATTGATACAATTTTACCATATTCAGGCCGCATTTATGGTGATAACTAAGTTAATGTATTGTAGACGAAAATAAATATTTGAATATGCAAACTATTTTGCAAACTTAAAAACCTCAATATATGCGAGTTATGGGCAGACTCGTATCACTCAACCAACTACTATTCTGTTGTGAGTAACAGGCAGAATGAAGAAGGAGAATGATATAAAAGTAAAGGTTAAACATAAATAGTTGTAGTAGACTATGTTTGTCACTTGCACCAGTGTGCGTTGCCATTCGATGCAACTGTTTCTTTCTTGCTTCGATTATGTATTAGTATTATTCGGGTTGATGAAGCTGCAGCTGCTTCTGTGCTTTTGACTCTCCTCTCATCGACCGATTCAGTTTTGCTCGTCGGTTTTTGCGTTTGTCGTGACAACGAATGCATACAGCACATTGATACATACACACGCACACACATTCACATTCACATTCACAGCACATACACATACATATAGACATGAATATGCACATGCACATATTTTTGCCAGCCTACGACAAACATACATGTATGTGCACGTACGTACATACATATGTACATAGAATTGCATGTACTATAGTATTCAGATATGTTTGTATGTATGTATGCATCTACATCTTAACATTCCCCGTTGATATTTTACAAATGTGTGTCACTAAAGAAATGTTTCTTGTAACGTCAAACTTTCTGTAATTTGTAAAAGCATAAGTAGTTCTTAATCGTTGGGTTTTATATCATAATTATTATAAATTAACTTAAATGATATTATTATTATACTAATAAGAAACTTACAGACTGGTCCATACGACTGCGTAATTCCCTATTTATGTCAAATTTAAGGAATACATTTTGATTGAAATGTTTGGGTTCGTGACTTTAAGGTTGGAATCCCAAGCGGTAACTATGCATTTTCTTGGATCTGTATAAATTTTATATCTCCAGACGTTTTTATGATTTCGTTTTTATTCCAAAATTGAAGACAACATTGAACAAATTTGCAATGATTTTATCCACATGTCCTTAAAATTAAAGGCGAATGTAGCTTACCCTAAAATTAATTAAATAAACAACTGCAAAAGTATACATAGAAAAGCGTATGGTAGATCAAGCTTTTGTCAAATTACCGACAATTCAAAAGGTGAAATATTATTAATACTAAACGGGCATCTATATGCAAAATACACTCTAGCTTTTTTATACTCCGCGATAAACTCAAGAAACAGTAATTGCAAATTTTATGTATACTTGATGTGCATATATTTTAAATTAACTGTCTCCACCTCTTATAGTCTCTGAGATCGTATAGATAGACGGTCAGACTGAACGTATATTGTATTGATCAGAAGTACAATTAAAGTATGTTAGATATACTTGAATTCATACACAATACCTACCGATACGCACATACATTTATAGCAAGAAAACAAACCCTTTCTGAATCGGTTGAAATCCGGAGTTCTAGTTTATTTCTTAATATCCATTTTATTAATGTCAATTTTTGAGCAGTGACTAAAGCCCTAAATTTTGCGAATGTGAAGTATGTTGTTTGTAAATTTTCCCATAGGGAACCATGTTTTTTTTCACATTTGCCAAAAGTGTTGGTATTCGCCCCAAGTAATCCGTGTTTTTTGCGATGACATCGAATTTCGTATGGATGCTATTTAAAATATGAAAGTATCATTACCACAAAGAGCTGATATAACACAGTTTTTAACATTTAAAGATGGCCAAATCCCGCAAAGAGTCCATTAAGGGGAACCCCTTCTACGAGAAAACTTTGTGGATCTTAGGTAAATCAAATTAAACCGATTGTTGCTGTTTATTTAAAAAAGCGGTACTATTGCCAATCACATGTGACAACCGACAACTGACGCCTGCTAATGGAATCGCAGAATGTGAACTTTGTAAATGTAAGAAATGTTGAGCATAGTGGAATATCATGCTATAAGTGTAGCTTGCAACTTCTCTAGGAAGACGACATGTTCGGCCTGCAACATTTGCAGTGGAATGAGCAATTAGATATTACAAGTTGAATTACTTGGACCAAAGATCTACATGAGGATGTGGGAACTCTAGTTCACGAACCGAAAACCCTAATGCAGGGAGCTGGCTCGAACCGTAAGCCAAACCGACCATTTGCGGTTTTCAGCTCTGATCAAAAGTGCAATTTAATGCTAGAATATACTCGTATATATACACACATACATATATATTTATTATTATTTATGTATGTACATATGCCTATTCGTATGTAGATGTGCATTCGTGTAGTTCAGTTCTGTTCAGGCACATGCAAACTACATATACACACGTATGTATGTATGTATGTGTGGCTGTCTCTTTGTATAACAACCACCCACACATTCAAATAATAACGGAGTGGGCTCCAAAATCGTTTGGTTTAAATGGAAGCAAAATCTGCAATAGCAACAACTAGCATCAGCTCACGAAGCACACACAAAAAACTAATGCACTCGGTAGATCTGAACTCCGACCCCTGCACCAACATATGTACGAGTACTCGTATATATACACACACACGTAGGTACACACACACAAGTATGTACAAGGATAAACGTGTGTGTGTGTGTGTGCATGTATATGCAGAATACAACACGCGCCCGTACGAAGTAGGCTCAGAGAAATCTGAACGGTTCCTGTCTGTCTGAGTTAGTGTTAGTTTTGGGGCATGCTTTTCTATGTATGTATGTATATAAGTACGTTGATGTATGTGTTAGTAAAAACATACATTGTGTGTACATATATTTAAATATACATGTACGCAAAAGAGCATGAAATCTTAAAGCAATACATGCATTAGCAGCCCGGACAATGCTAATTCACTTCACCTCACCGGCAGCTGAATACCCTAACCAACCCACAAACAACTCTCAGCTCCCGCTTTTACACTTTTGAAGACCTTCAGCTAACCAAGGCACCAAGGATATCAGAACTGGACTTAAAACATACTTTTTCATATACCCTGTCCTTGAATACTGCTCTTGCAGCTGGTACCTGCAGTATATTAATAGGTAGGATCGTATTGAGTCAGCTCAGACTCAGTGGCAATTTCTGCTTTCTGCCTTACGATTGCTATTATTTATTTATTTTTATTTATTTATACTTATATACTCCAGCAGGTTTCTCCTTCTTGATTTGCCGAGATGTTAACCAAGCGTAGAACAATCCTCGGTGTTGTCTTCCTATATAAGTTGATTGTTGGCGACATAGATTCTTCTTTTCTGTTGTTAAGGCGTCTGCAATTCTCTGCTCCGTCCAGACCTACCAGGAATTATCTCCCCTTATTCCTATCTAGCCCCTAAAAAAAATCGTTCCTTTCACTGACCATTCCCAGCTATGAATAAGGGCATAGCTTCCGGGTCGGTGATTTCCCATCATTATCTCTTTAACTTTTAGCTTTTAAAAGGAGTCTAAAGCTAATCGAAACATACAAGTATATTGGTCTGTCCGCATCAATTCAAATTGTTTACGACTGTTTGAAGTGAGAAATTCCAAAATGTTCGTTGTTGCCTTTCAGTCTTGATGTCAAGTAAACCTTTTAAATTTGAACTGCTCAAAATGCTAGAATGCCTTTCTAAAGAAGCCCTCCCCAAATAGTTTCTTTCACTTTTGATATGATCAGTAATCAAGTTAATGATCATAAGGCCAGAATTGTGACACAATTCGAACAGTGGAAATATCAGGATCCTTACGATATTAGGTCAGTCAGTAAGTCAATCAGGTCAAACAGTCTTATAAATAGAAAGAAATAAAATGGATTTGTTAAAAAATAGATAATAATTAAAAAACCGTTTTCATTTCCAGATTAAATGCATCAAATTAAAAAATACTCATGTTGAAAAATCGTAGTGAGCAGATAAAACCATTCTCATCTGAGATTGCAAAACATACAACGAACGAAAAAGAGGAAGAACATTTAAACCTTTAATAAGGCCTAATTGAAAGGGAGATGCAAGTGGAAAGTTTTTTGCAAAAGAATATCCCGCTGACAAGTAGTTCCTTCATATTAACACTTAAAATAACGGCAGTAACAATAAGGATCCTACCGATTCGGGCAATTTTAGCACAACTCGAACAAACTGTAACAGATAGAAAAACAGCTGCTGTAGCTCTTGAAGCAGAATATAGGCTGGTACTAAACGCATTCAAAACTAAACTCGCAGGTGAGGTGATGGCGGATACGGACGAGAATCTCGCACAGAGCTGTGACGATTTCGAGACCAGAGACAGAGACAACTCAACACAAGACAACAGCAATCCCGAGAAACAGCCGCCAAACAGTAATAAGAAATCGCATAGCACAGCGGCTTGTGATGCCGATACGAGAATTGATTGCAAGCGAAAAAAGTTGTCACCTTTAACCTACATAAGGAGAGACAGCATCGGCTATGAGAGCAGGGCCAAGGATGCCGATGGGAACGACAGGAACGATGGGAACGATGGGGATGACGATCAAAGAGAAAGAGAAAGCAACACATGTCCTGGCGGTAGTACAATAGCAACGAATTCAGATGGTCTGGAAAGAAGGATGTGTGGTGCACCTTCGCATGATGAGCATGAGCCGGCCCCTAGATCCCTAGATCCAGCAGCTACTCCAACGGAATGTGACAGAGCTGCAAACGATGAAGAGACCGATTCTAGAGATCGGCTGGCACTAGGCCAGCTATCGAGAGCCGAACCAATTGACCAATATGCGACAAATACATATATTGCACCCGAGCAGGCGCTCGTAACTCGGGTCGAGCTCGTTGTGCCCGGCCAGGTGCCAATTCAGGTGCCCATCCATGCGCCTGCATCTTCTGTATCTTCCGGAGCGCTTGACTCAATGTTGTCGTCGTCTACGTCGCATACGGAGTCACATTTTAATAGCGATGTCCGTTTTGGTGCTACGACTTCGCCCACAAGAAGGGCGGAAACTGATAAAAACAATGGTTGTGAAATAGACTCCTCCAGCTTGAGTGTAAGGATTCCTACTAATTTAACATTAACAACAACGGGTGATATTTTGACTAGTGATCGGCGTGCAGCAATATGGGCACCGCATGGAGAATATAAGGATGACCATGCCCAGGCTGGCATCGATGGGGAGGAGGGCCAGGCGCAGGAGCAGGAGCATGGTCAGGCCAATCCCAACCAGGATCGTTTACATTTGAGCTGCGACTCAGACATCTATCGCACTCAGCAGCAGCAGCAGCACCGTCAAGACCAAGAGCAAAGACAGTCGCATTCGCATTCGCATCCGCATCCCGCCGAACTTTTATTACAAATCGAGAAGGATACAACTTCGTCGGCAGGCTTTGGCCTGCAAATACAACAGAACTTTACTCATCAGCAACAGCAGCAGCAACCACCGCATATTCAAAACCAACTGCAAAATAACATGTACGGCCAAATGATGCCACAGCAACACACACACACACACCAGCAACAGCAGCAGCAGCAGCAGCAGCACCTCCTCCACCACAACATACATCAGGAGAATATTCATGAACATCAGCACCAGCAGCAGCAGCCACATCTTTATCCCAATTACATTCATCAGCATTATGCTCACGATCAGCTGTTTGCCCTACATCATACTCAGCCCCAGTGCCAACAGCAGCTGCAGCAGCAGCAGCAGCAGCAACATCAGCTCCAAGAGCAGCATCAACAGCATCAGCAGCAACATCAACAACAAACACAGCTCCTGCAGCACCGACATCACATTGAATGCCATGGCCATTTGCAGCAGCAGCAGCAACAGTCCATTCAGCAGACGGGACCGCATCCTCATCCACAGCAGCAACAGCAGCAGCAGCAACTGCAGGAGCCCTACCATGATCTGATGATGGACGAGTTCCACGAGGATCCATGCTCAGCGTACAAGTTGTGAGTAACGTATGAAGCACGTTCATTACATACAAATATATATATATATATATATATATACAGACAAATAATCCTTCACTTTAGGTGGGTGAAGTGGTTAAGTTTTGTATATTCTTGATCAGGCTACGCCTGTGCGACTGTTTAAACTCGCGAGAGGCTTCAAATTTATCCGATATCTGTTTTTTTTCGATATATCCCATTTGCATAGTATCGATAAATATCGAGAGGCTTCAAAATTTTCGATTTTGTTTGTATCGATATCGTCCATTTTCATATTATCGATAAATATCGTTTTTGGACGTCATTTGAGGATTTCAAGAGCTGAATACGCAAAAGTTTTTAAGAAGATTGTCGTGTAGTATAAACAGATAAACCCGGCGATCTTGGAAATTTGATTAATTTTGTTTTTTTCGATATCTCCCATTTGCATAGTATCGATAAATCTCGTTTTTGGGCATAATGTAAGAATTTCAAAAGCTGAATACGCAAAAAGTTGGAAAGAAGGTTCTCGTATAGTATACACAGATAATGTCTGGAAACTACGAAAGCGAGAGGCTTTAAATTTTTTCGATATCTGTTTCTATCGATATCTCTCATTTGCATAGTATCGATAAATATCTTTTTTGTCTATAATTTGTTGTTAAGAAAGTTCTCGTTTAGTATACATAGATAAAGAATGTTTTCATTCTTTTGGATATGCAGCTTACTTTTCCGATATTCCAATAAACTTGGTGTAGTTTAACTTTCTGGACACTTGCTTCATGTTAAAAGCTAAAGCCATCCTTATGCTATGAAAGTCTCATTAAAATTATAAACACGGAAGCCAATCAATAGTACATTTCGAATGCTTGTTAAGGTAGCTTGGCTTGGGATTCGGGGCATCTCGGGGTATCTTTATCTTTAAAATATAATAGCTTATAATTGGAAAGTCACAATTCATATTATTGCAGAACACTTTCGCCGAGCAATGCAAAACCGGAAAATCAAGATGATGGCTACGAGACGAGCGCAGGAGATGTTTTGACACCCAACTCGCATAGTTCATCGACGCATTCGGTGACGCCACAGCATCAGATGCAGCACGGCGGCCTTGGACATGTTGGGCAAAACAAGCACGAAGATCTGATCGCATCGCAGCAGAACTCCAACAATAATAATCAGCAATCGGCGGCAACCACGTCCAGCAGCAGCAGTCCGCAGGTGCAAGCATCAAGTGGGCAAAGTGTCCTGCCCGATCTTTCCATGCCCCAGAGCGTGAATGCGAGGACCTCGAATAACGTTGATGTTGCTCTATCGAATGATCCCTACAGTTTCATGGCAGAAGAGATGAGTATTCTGTCACCGGGAGGTCAGCAGGCGGTAGATCTGCCAGGCACCTCAAATCCCTCTAGCTATTCGCCTGTGCCAGTTGCAGGATCAGGATCAGTTGTCCAACAGTCCAACAGCATGTACAACATCAAGGATCATCAGCAATCGTTGCAGCAATCGGAGCAGCGCCCGCCAAACGGTGAGCCCCTCGCGGAATCTCATCATAGTACAGATACCAGAATCGAATCCCAAGATGCCAACAACTCCAACTGCGATCTAAATGCCAGGACTGGATCGGTGCCCAAAAGAAGGGGACGTAAAAAAAAGCTAATCGATGCGGATAATAGTATGCAAATGGTAGCTCCACAACAACAGTGGTAAGTTCCTATCCCAGGCCATATCCCTTATTTCACTCTTAGTTCACAGTTCAAAATGGTTATATGAAAGTCTTCTATGCGCTAGACATTTCATGATAAAAATATACTACCCTCTACAGGGGTAAAAAAAATATATAGAAAATATATTTAATATGTAGGCTGAGATATGGGTATAGATTTTAAGGGGCTGAAAATCACTGAGTCGATGGAAGAGAGCCAGTTTGGACTCTTACTCATAGAGAGTCCATGAAGGTATTGAGAAAAAAAAAGATTTAATAGGTTCATCGTATAGATTGAAATGAGTTGTGCTTAGTCTAAACTGTCGTGCACGTAGGTAGGAATAAGGAGGGGAGGGGGGGGGGGTAATAGTTGGTTTGTCTAGAGGTCACAGAGAAGACAGCCTACAAGAAGAGGAGCATCTATGCCCATAACTATTTGAGTCTAGTAATTAAGTCCGAAATGCTCTCAGTGTCCGATTTAGCCCAATGTATCTCATTTATTCATTTTCATTCATTAAATTGTTTGCAGCTTGAATTTGTTGACTGATTTGCTAAGCAGCTTGTAATTTTTGTATCTTGAAACAGTGGCGGCAGGGATGGCAGCGGAGGATCCGATGATATCCTAAACATGAAGCCCAAGGAGCGCAAGAAGCACGATCGATTCAATGGGATGTCCGAGGCGGAAGTTATTAAGCGAACGATACCCGATCATCTTTGTGATAATCTTGATATTGTTATAGTGAGTTGTAAATTTCGTAAAGCAAGACGAATGTCCATTTATTTCGATGAGCTACGAAATTCGAAAAGATTAACTTATTTATTCTCCCAAAAAAACCTGCAGGTCGGCATAAACCCTGGCCTGTTCGCTGCCTACAAGGGCCATCATTATGCTGGACCCGGCAATCACTTCTGGAAATGCCTCTATCTATCCGGACTCACCCAAGAGCAATTGAGCGCCGATGACGATTACACGCTAATCAAGCAAGGCATCGGGTTCACCAATATGGTTGCGCGTGCCACCAAAGGCTCCGCCGATTTGACGCGAAAGGAAATCAAAGAGGGTAGCCGCATTTTGCTTGAAAAACTTCAACGATTTCGACCCAAAGTTGCCGTTTTTAATGGCAAACTTATATTTGAGGTTTTCTCTGGCAAAAAGGAGTTCCACTTCGGTCGGCAACCAGATCGTGTCGACGGCACAAATACTGTAAGCATATTTCAAACTCTTTTTCTGCTAGCTTAAAGGTTATAAGAACTAACAAGCTGAATTGGGGACAGTTGTGGTTCCCAGGGCTCAAACCGGATGTCAATATTGAGTTTCTATTTGAAAATGTTCGCTTAATGTGTATCGGACAACCATAAACAAATCAAAAAAAATCCGTGGATGGGTTGATAGTTCCAGCTATATGAAATACCAGTCCGAATTTAATACTATTTTGCTCATATATGAACATATTAATGTTTGTAACTGGAATTTGATAAAGCGGTTAAAATTTGATAATCATATTTGGGATAAACCCTGCACACTTCTCAAGATAGACCATTTGCACAGATATATCGCCTAGCCAGACTCAAGTACATGGGGTACAACCACTTCTCTGTTGATCCTTTTTAAAAGTATCTGCAAATGTGCAGCAGGAAGCATCTCTGACCAAATAAATTATATATATTCTGGATCAGATCGACGAGCTGACTCGACGAAGCCATGATCGATCGTCTGTATGGCATCATTTATCTCAGAAACTACAAATGCTAGAGAATTGAAATATATTTAGCATACGCAGAACGAGTTTATTGCTCTCTATTTGATGTATCTTAAAAACAATATCGGTTTTAAGACTTGTTTTTTCTTCTAAGCAAAACTCGAGGATTATAAGAGCTATTTACACAATTACAATTCCCCCTAAAATTGAAAAATAACAAGTAACAGGTTCTAGTCGGGAGTCCCGACTAGGGGATACGTCTTCTTCCAACAGGCGATAGGTATAAAATGAAAGATACTTGATATATATATACTATTCTAGAAGCTACATGTCAAGTTTGGTGACTCTAGCTCATATTATTTACCAAATTTGCTCAAAAAACAGGATTTCGATATTGGTTTTTATCGATTACTTGGAAACGGGGCAAGTTATCGAATATCGGAAACAAACTCGATCTGCGCGGGTACTATGAGAACCTAAAGCTAAAATTTCAAGTCTCTAGCTCTTATAGGTAATGAGATCCTTGCGTTCATACATACGGACCATACTAATACCTTGTCCTTTGTTATTTACATCTATCTGGGCGCCATGGGAATGTAAGCCACAAAGGTACTCAAGAATATATTTAGCCATAGTGTGTAGCAAAGTAAAGAAGCACATTCACAGCGTTGTATTTCATTCACATAGTTGTATTTAAATGTAATGAAGGAAGCTAGACGGTTTATAAAGGAGGCTCGTCGCTGGACTAGATCACGCTTGCTTACGTTTAAGATTGCATATAACAATCAATCCTTGCCTGTAACTTATTCAATCTGTATCAATCTTTTTTTCAGTATATTTGGGTGATGCCTTCCTCATCGGCGAGGTGCGCTCAGCTGCCTCGCGCTGCGGACAAGGTGCCATTTTACGCGGCGCTGAAAAAATTTCGCGACTTTCTCAATGGACAAATTCCGCACATGGACGAGTCGGAATGCGTGTTCACGGAGCAGCGTATAAGACAATGTTGCGAGCAGGAATCGCTCAAGGGTATGCCTCCAGCTGCTGTTGCCAGCGCCAGTAGCCATACTATTGCCAATGATCTGAAGCAATCTAGTCTTATGTTTGGCAATGACAATGTCGGCGGCGGCAGTGGCAGTAGTAATATTGATCCCGGCACAGATTGTTCCAATCAGGTTGTTGATAAACTGCTGCCGCACTTCAATCCAAATATGTCCAATGTGATACCACGTGACGGAGCAGGTGCAGGAGGAGGCGGAGGAGGAGGCGGAGGATTTATGTACGGCAATAATGATGAATCGATGAGAGCGGCGGGCTCTATAACGGAGCACAACTATTTGTCCGTATTTGGAAATCAACATCAGTCACAACAGCCGCTGCCAGAGAAAAAGAAACGTGGCCGACCCAAAAAGATCAAAGGACAAGAGATGATTGATCCAACAAACGGGGCCAAGGTCATCACACTAACGCCTCAGCATGACTTTAATAATATATTGAATCTGTCCATGATTGCGGGTGCAGCGGGTGCTGGAACAGGTGGAAGCGGTGCCAGCGGCAGCGAGATGCCCACCAAAAAAAAGAGGGGCAGACCCAAGAAGCTAAAGCCCACACTCGAGAATATACTAACAACAACAGCGACAGCAGCAGCAGCTGCAAAGCATCCGAATTCAGGTGCGAATCCGCAGTCAGCAACAGTCACAAGCAACAACAGCATGCACACGATTTCAATGGAGCACACAGCGTCGCCGCAGAGTAGCCATCAGGCGCCGCCCAGCCTGTACAATACGCCGCCGCCGTCTCACATATTGTATACGGCATCTGCATCGCCGATGGCATCGCCAGCAGCTCTCAATTGCAGCTATTCGCACTCGCATGGTACACCGCCAGTGGGCCAGGTCGATCATCAGCAGCAACAGCAGCAGCAGCAACAGCAGCAACAGCAGCAGCATCATTTGCAGCAAATCACGGATCATTTGCCGGGCAATCATCAGAGCCAGGTCGTTGTCGGTATTAGGGATCAGCCGCATCTGGGCGAAACTCCGCCGCCAAGCTCACCAAATATGTGCAGCGTTGTTGATTTTGAGCCGCCGACGGATCGCAATGATGGACAGGATACAAATCTGGTTATGTCGCAACAGGGCCGAATGGTAGATAAATCGCAATCATACCCCAGCTCAGTTGCGCAGCGCGACGCAGAGCCACTTTCGCATGTCCAGGAACATTATCAGCAGCAGTGGCTATCGCCAGGCCAGGATCAACAGCAATCCGCCCAAAAGGTTAACCAGCAAACACTTCAATCTCAGTCCTCGCCCGTCGCCGTCGCCGTCGCCGTCTCGCACTATCCGCAGCCCAACTATCAGCCAGACACTCCGGAGCATTGGCATCGTTTCGAGGAGCACAGCAATCAGAGCAGATCCTATATGCTCCCATCTCCGCACCATCATAACCAGCATAACATCAACAATATGAGTCCACAGCTGAGCGGCACGCAGTCGTCTGGCCAAATTCAAGCGCAAGCTGCCTCTGATATGTCACGCAAGAGTCTGTCAGGTCTCGAGTCTTTGGTCGATCAGATACCAACAATAAGTGAACACGAATCAAGTGCAATATCCTCGGCAACGGCAGCTGCAGCTGCGGCTGCTGTCGAAAGCCGTTTACTTGGCCTCCAGCAGCAGCAGCAGCAACAAAAGCGCTGCCATCAGGAAAATGATGTTGTTCATCCGGAAGCCACAACGAACAACAACAATGTGATTAGCAATTTCTCTGTCAGCAGCCTGGCGGCTTCTGCGGCAACGACGAATACGAATACGGAGACCCATTTGGCACAGCCTAGCAGTAATGCCAGCAGGCCCGAGAGTGGGCATAGTATCAACAGCAACAACAACAACAACAACAGCAACGAGTATTCGAACCATAGCCAAGTGGGGTATCCGCATCATGCAAGCCATTTGATCAGCAGCGCATTGGCGACAGCAGCAACTGCGGGCAATGCACAGGTGTTGTCACCGCATCCACATGCCCATCCGCATTCGCAAATGTATATGGATCATGCGCACATCACATCGCACATGGCTCACATGCCGTCGGTGAATGTTAACTCAATGTACGGATCACCATACGGGCCGCAGCATGGCACCTCGGCGCCGGATTACGGTCATCATGGACACTATGGCGTTCAAAATGCGGCACCCACGTTGCACGTGCCAAGCCCCAATTATCCGTATGCACATCCGTATGGTCACACTCCACCGCAGGGCAATTACACGGGCTTCGCACATGCCCATACACATCCCCATCCGCATCCCCATCCGCATGCCCATCCGCATCATCATCATCATCATCACGGCCATGCAGCGCATCATTTGAGCGTCTTCGAGCGACTCAAGCCGTCCGACATAAGCGGCTACAGCGGCTTCTGATGGCAGCACGAGCAGCAGGACTAACAACAACAACAACAACAACAAATATGATACGAAGCCGGCGGCGTGATTTAAACACGGATGCGGCCCCTTTCGCCCCTCGCCCAGCAATCTCCGGCTAGGCCGTTTATACTTACATAATAGTTTAAGTAAATTTTACAATTAAATAAGATAACCAAAGACTCCGCCTAATAAATTTCTTTTGTAAGCATCAACGGACAATTAATATTACTTAGATCTGTGTGCGTGTATATGTATATGTATTATCATAGTAGTCTCTTTGTATGTATATGTTACATACAATACAATACGTATTTGTCTGCGTAATACATACTCTCTATCTTCTCTCTTTGTCTTTGTGGGTATGATGTAAAAACCGATATTTAATATATATACATTACAGTATATTACGTTACGTCGTAGTGAACACCATAATTCGTTTTATCAGTAGACATATATAAGATTAATCACAAGTAACTATCTCCAACAATCTGTGTACTCTAAGTTCGAATTCGAGATATGTGTCTGTGTTTTCTTCATTGAGATAATAATCCTCATTTAAATCTGTTCTGTGCAGACTGATTTTATTAGCGAAAATTGAACACATTTTGAAAATAACAAAACAAAAAAAACAAAACGTGATATGGAATAGTCATTATTATTGTGTTTTAAACACATAAGTTTAGAGAGTTTCGCGCTTTTGTCTGCCTATTTTGTGCATGTAAATATGATATGATTCGGTTCCTGGTTCAAATCAAGCTTTGGCTCGTGGACCTAACTTTCCGTTTCCATTAGTTTTGGTGTGTAAAATTCGGTTATATTACATATTTTACAGAATTTGAAAAATTTGTAAAAATACGCCCAAATTTCGGCTTTTTTGGGGCAACGTATTCGACCAAATCCGTTCGATTCGAAACTAGTTTGATCTATTTTAACGTTTGTTTTGCAATTGAATACTTTGAAAATGTCAAATTGTGCCGTAGGTAATTTCTGTTTGCAAATAGCTGAGGCTCGAATACAATTTACTGATTTAAGAAACTATTTGCAAATATAATAAATATTATATGTAAACAAATTACTTGTAGTTCATCTTTTTAGCAGACCAATTTCTAATCAAACAGATAAAATATAATATATATATATATGCATATATACAAGCAAAACCAATGGTTCCTAGATGACCCATTTATCCTTGGTTTTAACCCTACCAAAGATAACGGCCTAACGAACCTAAATGACCGAAATAGTCAAACAAATTCAGCCATCGCCCAGCAACACCCCCCTCCTATCGACGGTTCCCAGTTGAACCACATATCCTTGGTCATACCATACCATTGATATAGTCTTGGTGAACCTAGAGGACCGAATCCCTGCAGAATGCGCATGAAAACGGTCCAGAAATATGTATGCTTCTTTTGCTTTCAGTACCCCTTTTACATAGCAACATTGTGGGTATGCAATGCAATTTTTCATTAAAAATAAATTTTAGTTCGCCTGCCTACTGGGCATTTCTGTTCGCCTGGTACTTCAGCCGAATTTTCGTTGAAATCTGCCACTCGGCTGCTCCTCCGCACGTCCCGTTCGGGTATGCAATAAAATTTTTCATTCGTAAAATGTTTAGTTTGTTTACCTGCTGCGCATTTCTGTTGGCCTGGTATTTTTGCCAAATTTCCGTTCAAATCTCACGCCCCCTCATAGCAGCAACTGGTAACAGTGGTATGTTAACTGACAGCTGCATAACAGTGGCATGTTAAATAACAGCTGCATAACAGTGGCATGTTAAATAACAGCTGCAGCTGCTAATTAACAGCGGACTGTTAATATACTTGCCAGTCATCATTTTTCCCTTGTGGGTATGCAATGAATTTTTTTACATACATTTTTTTGTGCATCTACCTGCTGTTCATTTCTGTTCGCCTGGTATTTCAGCAGAATTTTGATTTAAAAATGTGAGCCAACGGCCGGACACAGTGCAATGGGGATTTTGCGACCGTTAATTTTTAAACCCTAATTTAATAGTTGATAGTTTTTAAGAGAATTTTGTTGGGATTTGGAACTATTGGTTCACCAGGACTATATGTAGGTATGGTAAAACCAAGGATATATCGGTCATCTAGGAACCATAGAGGGAGGAGGGACGGCTGTTTTTTTTTACTCTCTTCTTCTTTTTTAGTACTCTTCATTGCACTTAGTCCAAAGCTGTGAAAAACACATATTTTCGGAATTTTTTAATGTTAAGGTATATCAATTGCCTAATTGGACAAAACAGATTAGAAAGAAATAAGAACAATGGTGTGTACATTTTCGCATGGTTTTATTTATAATTTTATAATATCTGCACATCTTTTGCCATTTATTATATTTTTATAGGAACTTTATAAATATGTATTTTTAATTTGTAAATTCTATGCAATTATTGCAGCAACTCTGATTAACATTATGAATATTGTGTAATCTGTACCTACACTTACAAGAATGTACGTATGTAGATGCATATGCTTGTATGTGTGCGCGTCGAGGGAAATTATATGTATGCATGTTAAAATACAGGTAATTATTTTGGGTGGTTTGGCTACTCAATTTACCATTATTTAATTGCCAATCCATTCATCGATGTTCGTGCATGCATTTTTACATACATACATACATACATGCATATATACAAACATCTTTCCGTTAAACTCATATGCATTTCTATACATATATATATATAGAGAGAGAGAGAGAGAGAGAAATAATATAAATATTACCGCCGCATATTGTTATGTCTCTCAATGCAGACTGTTCGTTCTACCGTTATCATTGGAAATTATGCATGTGGGTCTGTGTTTGTGTGTGTGTGTGTGTGTGGGGCAAGCAGATCCATAAGCACTTATCAGATATAGTGATATGTCATATGCCTACCAATCAATTTACGGAATGTGTGCGTGTCTTTATTCAATAGATCTATAGGACTTAATCATCCAAGTATTATTATATATGGGAGTCACTATGTGTGTGTGTGTGTGTTTGTTTTTTTCGGTATTATTACAAACGACTTATGTATTTAAGTATGGGCGAAAGCAAATAGTTATGCATATATAGTTATACATACACATATATATAAATGTATATGTATATACGTATAAATACATATGTATGTATATGCATGTAAATTTGGTGTATTTAACATTACAACTAATTGAATTTGCTGCGAGGTTTCTTTTTTGTTTTGAGTTCTTTCATATTTTACGTGCACCACCTTAAACATAATATACCTGTCTATATATATATGCATTTCTATATATATATATATGGTATATGTGATATATTATACTGCATGTATGTGTGTGCTTTCTTAGAGGCTAAGAATTTGTTATATTTAATACTATAGGAACTTTTAATTAAAGTTTGTTCTTATTACAATTAATTGCAAGTGTTTCGCTTGCTTTTATTCCAGCATATATATATATTTATATATATATATATATATATATATGTTAGTTCTATACATATTTCAGAGTTCATGTCTGTCCTTAGTAATTTTTTATTTTTGTATTGTTATTGTATAAACTGACCCAAGATAAAAAAACATTGTGTAAGTAACAAAAATAGAATTTATGCTTAGTGACAAATTAGTTATTTGTTTATAACGAACAATCTAGAGTATCTTGAGTTGCAGCATTTCGAATATATCCAATAGTAAAATAGCAAAATATAATAGTAAAATACGACATAAGTAAACACATACTATACTATATATATATATCCAGATAAATTTGCTCTTATACGATATTACAAATTGTTTAAAAATGTCTGTTAAATAATTGTGGTAAGAAAATGAAATTGCCAGTCTTTTGCTAGAGAGAGATATATCTGTTTATATTTATGCTGAATGTGAATTTGAATTTGAATATGTATCTACATATGTGTGGAGATGTTCTTGTTGGTTTACACATAACGGTATTATATTCAGCAGGTGAGCTTTGACACCAGACGCTCGACTCGCTGTAATGGAAGCCTTTTATAACAAAAATGAACAACTTAAAAAACTATAATTAGCATAATTGTGAAATAGTTTTGTCGCCTGAGAAACCTGCACACCTGCTTCACCTGATTAGGTGGGCGGGCTGAGAGAATCTGATCTTTGAGATCTACAAAATTTACTACTCAGAAGAGTTATTAACTGAAATGTACATTTTATCGATTTGAAATAAACGCAGAAATGTCTTACATCCTTTAAACTAATTAAAAAAAAACAAAAAAAAAAAATAAATCCTCATAAAGTGAAACCAAAACCCCTTTTAGATACGTTAGGAGAGACTCAGGAGAAGCTATTTAATGAGTTTATGTCCTGTCGATATGCTGATGTCCGTTAATAAGAATATATTGAATATTATTAGGTATCTGCAGTCGATTAGCTTATAAATCATAAGTTAATCAGAAATTTTGGAAATTTATGTTGCCTCATCCCCCCTTCATATCATATATCTCTTTAGTATAGTCCTTTGTATAGTCCTTTTTATTTAATATTTATTGTAACCAGGACTCAACTATCTATATTTTGATGAGATTTTCGCAAGGAATGCTCTTCTTCTTCCATTGCTCAACAGTTTTTACTTTGTCGCTAAATTCTTGCCCCAGCGAAGACAGGGATAGGAATATGATATGAAATGGAGGAATATAGAATAGACATGGTTATATCGACGGGGCTGTGGAAAAAGTTCAGGAATATAGATGTGAACGGGGGCTGAGATTCCTTAAAGCAAAAGGATATTCTAAGAAATTCATGAATGTGCATAAATAACTTTATACATATTAGAAGCTTTTATCAGCTATACGCAGTAGAAGAAATTGCCTGCTTTTGCCCGGGATTTAAAAATTACCCTAAACCCATTCTTATCTTCTTAGACACGACTTTTATGAGTTTTAATTATCCAAGCTAAATATGATTGATAAGTATGGATTAAAGTTAAATTCAAATAACTTTCGACCTCTAAGGTCACACTGGTCTTAGCGCAAAAAAAGCGGGTTTAAAGCCGATCGGAGGATACACTAAAAACGTTCATTCAACTGCTTTCCAAACACTCCTAAAATCAATCAGTCAGTCAGGACAAACAATTTTAATTATAGATACATATATAAATGTCTGTGTCTTAGAGTCAAGAGAGAGTCAAGTACATGAATATATATACATATATATATCGTATGTATATATGCTGACCATTTCTTTGTGTACGTACACATATGTAAGCATGCATGGCAAAGTAAAACATTGGCACATTTTCAAAAATATGTTTTACATATACATCAATCAGTTATCTGATACGTTGATGCACATACACTTTCCAAGCTGATGTAACGCATATGTGAAATAAAAATGTTGGACAGCGATGGATCATTGATTATTGAGCTTTGTTTGGGATCAGATCAAAAGCCAACCCATGTTGGAAGGTGTATGCAATTCTCGGCGCGCCGAAACTATATATATACTATATATACTATAAACTTAAATCTGAGTTTACTATATGTATTTTTGTTGTATTGTTGTATTTTCAACATAATTAATTAGTAATATTTAAATAGAAAATAAAGGCATAAAGCAATACAATGCTAGGAACTCAGTTTGCATCTCTCTAATTCGAAGGTTCTCATCCTACACACAAGACCTGGAGAGACTATTATTCCCTCCCAGTTGCGTACATATGTTTGTATGTATGTATGTATAAACTAGAGGGTATATTCATATTTTGCGAAAGGACAATTAAGTATTTAGTAGACTAATCCTTACTCAAAAACAGATAAGGTAGAGGGAGAACTGCCTTAGCTACACGGACTTCATCTGATTATTTCGTATCTCATGCATTTTTATCATTTTGCTCATTCATTTGTGTTTTTGTTTTTGTTTTTGTTTTTGATATAATTTTGTTAACATTATTGCTACATATATTTTGAATAGTTAGGAACACTTCCGTATAGTTTGTAATTCTTATTAAATTATTAATCTTGTTTCTGTTAATTTACTTATACATAGTTTATGTATATATTTAGCCACATGAAATGTCATGCATTAAATTTCTTTAAAATAGGAACTTTCAAGTTTTCATAGTATGTATGTAAATATATCTTATTATGTTTATGCAAGTATACGCATATGTTCTAAAACTTTCTTGTTATTCTTTTGCATTGTTATTTTTTATGTGTGCATTTTTCTCCTTGTCCTCGATGTTGTGGCCCTTCGATTCCATGGCATGGTTACGTCAAGTGATAATAGGGAAGTCAATGCAATTAGGATAAAATCTGTAATGAGAGTAGGGGCATCATGTAATACATAAGTGTATGTGCGACATTATCTAACTTACCCGTCGTCGGCCGAGAGTCGCCCAGTTTTAAAGGACTCCAAATTATTTGCCACCTATAACTGTTAAAAAATTTGTTTACTACTTCATAGCCAAGAATGCATAGATGGGATGAGGGAAAAGATATCCGTTTATAAAAGAGAATCACGAGAGAACGACTAGCAGATACCCTGTACCCAACATAGAATTGGCCCAAAAACACATTCGTACATGAAGAATATCCAATACAAACGTGTATCCCTCTCCAGGAGAGGGAGGTATGTATAAATACTGTTAGGCTTAAGAACCTCAATAATACAATATTAGTGCGAGTGTCTACGGACGGACAGACATATACATATTATCGTGTTAGAGTAGTGTTCCCCCCGATTAACAATATATGTCCCAATTTTGTTTTCGGAGACATCTTCTCTTGTTACATGCATTTGCATAATAATTGTCTTTATCCCATTTTAAGCAGGTACAGGGTATACAAATGCAACAAAAGCAAAAACAAAAACAAAAATTAAAAATAAATATAAAGAATAATTGAGTAAAATTTTAGTCAAATAATGTTTTATTTGTTTTGTACAGACTTTTAAAAATAAAATAATCGGATTTGTAATAAAATGTATGTGTATTACATAAATACACTCAAGCAAAACATTGTTTTTCATTTGAGGTATGCGCTACTTAAGCTATCGATCAGCAAGATTTAATATGTACTATATGTATGTATAATTGGAACGAAATGCTGCTTTATACGACAAAAAGCCCCCTGAAATAGTCTCTTATATTCTAATAAATTCGAGCTCTAGCAGGGACCGAAAATACTTTATATATGGCTTGAAACTTGAAACTTTAACGAAGAAATCTTGCATTTAGATATATAGAACCCTAGATCTTATATAAAGCTATGACATATCTAAACATTGATTATATATATCCGTGGTTCAAACGATATTATGACTTAACTTTTATTCTCGACTCTTCAAATAAAATGATGTCAAATTTTCTAACTAATAACTTTTACCAAAAAAAAATTCGGAACTGATTAGTTATGAGCAAATTTTTAAATGAAAGTTAATTAATGAGAATTCAGCTCTGTTTTAAATAAAATAATTATTTCAATAAATTTCAATTCAATTCCCTGTTTTAAAGAAACGATATTTTGTATATCCCAAATGGAGATTCTAAAAGGTTGTCAAGGAATGTCTAGGAAATGTCCAATTACCATTTGGATTGGATCTTCGTATGACATAGAAGAAGCTATATTCAAGTTTAAAGTCTCGGATACTAAATTGAACACGACACGATTACTATTTACAGGATCAACATCAGGTATGTTTTCTTAATGGGACAGCTATTAAAAACGATCGGAATTCTAGGATTAAAGTGCAGGCCGGATAGTTGTGGTAATTTTGAATGGTTCAGGAGGAGTTTTCCGAGCTGTGAAAATATTATTTTTTTGGCTGCGTGTTGATGACGGATCCGTAAGTCAGTAAATTAGTCAGTCGGATATATATAGACATATAGCTTAAAACTGAACCTGTGTGTGTGTTTAATAAGAGACTGAAGAAGACTGAAGTATAGGAATAGGATTCCATTCGCAAGAGAGGAAAAATCAGAATGTCCTGTTGCAAAAAAATATCAAATGGGTGGATTTTACGTACAAAGCCAAGTACAACAAGTATGAGCGTTCCGCAAAAAGGATTGTAAATATGCGTATATATACATACATTAGCAGAAGATATATAAATGAATTTAAATTGGAATTTGAATTAGAATAAGGCTAAGGTCGTATAGCGCAAGAGTTCATTGCATATATACATACATACGTATATGTACGTATTAATTTGATTAATTAGTTGTTTCATTAATTGAATTGAATGTTATACGTAAGCTAGAACACTTGAAGTGTTGAGTGTTAATTGGAAGATTCGAGTCGCCTAATCTTATTTACTTTTCAGTTGTGTGGCAATCAAGTCACATACATATATATATACATATATATATATATATGGTATATATCATATCGGTTATGAATAAATGTTGCGAGGCATATGTTAATTATTACACTAATCAATATAGTATAGTACTTAATTATTGTTTAAAATCAAATTTCGTTTAGTCTTTGACATTAGGTTTTGCGAATGCTAGAGTGCTTTATCTATAGCTATATCTATATCTATATCTATATCTATATCTGTATAGTATGGTACATCAGACATGTCTTGTTTTACATACAGACATGTACATATGAAGAATGTACAATGGTTAACTACTAATACATACGTATCTTAGTGGACAGTCCTTAATATTTAGTTAATGAGTTGCATGTGATGCAATGCAAGTATGTTATGTATGTAAATGAAGAAAAAACATACTGGAAACGCGAGTCTGAATAACAATTATTGTTTGTATTAATTGTGTACATCAAATCATACTGTAAACAACACAAGAACAACACGACGAAATCATATAACTAAAACATATATATATATATATAAAATTGAATTCAAATAATATAGTACTAATCATACCGCCGCCGGGCTGCTGATCCAAACGTTTACACACATTCATCATATCAAAATACTAGACGGAGGAGTTCGCAATTCTTACCCGTGATGTGATTGCGATTGAATAGCTGTTGCATTAGCTCCCGACTGCCGCCGCCGCCGCCGGAGGATGCGCTCTTTCTGCCCGGCTCCGGCAACTCGTCGCTATCGTTGTTGACAGAGACAGCAATATCGCCGGCCAAGTGTCGACGAGCACCAGCACTGGGATCGTTGTTCCCGGAGTCATCAGACCCAGCAGTTGGCCCCGTTGCCGTCGTCGTCGTTGCCAGCAGGCGAGGCTCAGTGCCAGCTGAGGGCGCCATGCTGATGCTGCCGCTGCCGCTGCCGGCATTGGACACCATATGCTGGAGGAGGAACGCCTTGGAGAGGCTATAGAATCGCCTCTCGCGGTCGTCGCGGCAATCGTTGTCATCGCTGCCGCTGGCATTGCTGTGGGCATACAGCTCGCTGGTCTGCTCGAGCAGCTCTTTCATTTTGCAGATGTGCTCCACACTGAATGCGTGCTTCTGCATGTTCACCTGCGGCACCTGGCATAATTGACAGTCCTGCAGATCGGCCTCCGCGGCAGAGGTGGCAGCTGCCAGTGCCTCTTGGGTCTTGCTGTTGTTGCTGTTGCTGTTGTTGCCAGCCTCCTTGCCGCTGGATCCGTCGAAGCTGTTGTTGTCATCCGAAATGTGTGCGTATTGGCGCTGATTCCTTGACTTTTTATCTTTGGCCCGTGAATTTTGAAACCAAACCTGAAAGCCCAATGCGAAAGCATCCAATTATTTACGGGCGTTTAGTACGAATTTTAATTGTGTATGCGTGTATGCGCATCCCCCCCCCAAATAGATCAAGAGATTCCTCAATTTTAGAAAATCGCCAACAAATTTCTATACGTTTTCTAGTTTTCAAAAATATCTTATATTTTAATTGTGATCCCAAGTCCTAGGCTGGCTTTTCGAATACATTTTCTAAAATTTCATAGAGATACGTTCTTCTATATTCCAGGGTGAATATAGAAATTGAATTCAAAGAAGATCTTTTTTCGAAAATCGAACATCACCCAACAATGTAAAAAAACGCTCAGATTTAGATCAAGAAATTTTTTTTTTGGAAGAAATAATTAAAAAATAGAAAATCAATTAATAAAAGTTAACAAATGCACGTTCGAAAAATGTCAACAGTTTGATGATCAGATATTTGTATACCTTAAAAATAGGTAAAAAGGGTATGATAGTTTTGTGCAAATGTATGTTACAGGCAGCAGGAAGCCTCTTCGACCCCATAAAGTATATATATTCCTGATCAGCATCAATAGCCCAGTCGATCCGTCCGTCCGTCCGTAAGTATGAACGCAAGGATCTGAGAACCTATCCGAGCTAGAGACTTGAAATAGGTCTTCCTAGTGCCCGCGCAGTACGAATTTGTTAACGATACAAGATAACTTGCCCCGTTTCGAAATAACATCCCGATGTTTGAGCAATTCGTAGCTGGTAGTCACAAATTTTACTTGTAGCTTCTAGAATAGTATACACTTTTATTTTACCATAGCTACAAATTAAATAAATAAATTAATTGCAGCTATAGGAACATTCTGTAGCACGATAAGATCTACTGCTGAAGTTATTTAAGAAGACGCGTGGTTATACATATGTACATATGTATGTATATCGGCAAGCCACGTGGCCTAGCCACGCAAGTGCAAAGGGAAAAAACTTTTGTACGCATATGTACATGAGCTCGCATGCATACACAAATAGAACTACAAATGCTATTTGATCTAGGTTTTCTTTTCAGGTTCGATTCCAGTTCAGGGAACTAACTTTTTTAACAATATATATAATATTTTTAATGCTAAAGCAAGCCCATTTTCAATGGGTATAAAGCGATTAACGCAATGGATCATACGTTAATCAATGAGCTTAGAAATAGTTACTAACTTAAGTAGTTTTTATTTCCTACACATTAATAGACAGTTAATGGCCTACGCTTAATAGGGATAGGGATAGGGTTTTTACCTTTACGATGTATTCGTTTCATTCAAATATTACCTGCATACGCGATTCATTTGTTTTTGCTTTAGCGAATTACCATCGTCAGCTGTCTAGGGACATGATATCGATATCGATGAAATGCTAAAATTTCCCAAATAGAGTCCGATATTTTGTTGTGGTCTTGTCGACATCTATATCTGGTTGACTGTTGGGTAACGGTGCGAGTAACTAACTGTCTTTCACTAAATTAAACAAACAAAGAAAAATAATAAAAACAATAATATAAATTAAAACAAAATGTGTATAAATCATAAAAACATAAACTAAATTTAATAGAAAACACATTTCTTCGGTTTGCCGAAGTTCTGTTAAGATGTTTAATGCGAGATACGATGCGGGTTACCCAACACTAATACTACTAATACTACTGGATCGTGCAAATATATGTATGACAGACTAGGAGAAATGACCCGAATCAAATGATAATATTGAAAAGGTAAGTGTCCCCCTCCAAGCTGGCTGCTCATATTAATTGTCTTTCACATAGACTAAAGGTCAAACTATCAGCCTGAGAGTAACCTTATGCATATGGTATATATGTACATATGTATTTTGAAGGAGAGACAATTTGCAACTTACTTGTACGACGCGTTTTTTAAGATTTACTTTCTTGGATATCTCCTCGAGCATTTTGCGGCTGGGATTGGACTCGGTTTGGTAGCACTCGTACAGGAAGTTCAATTGATCTGGAAGTATCGTGGTTCGCAGCCGCTTGTTTTGCTTGGAAGGAGCGCTCAACTGCACCGTCGAGTCCAAGGGCAGGCAATCGTTTGCTTTGACGGCGCCAGCGGCGGCGCCAGCGGCGACATTCTCGACCTTTGGGCTTAGATTATCGTCGTCGTCATTGAATGTTAACATTTGGGAATTATTTTCAATCATAGTTGCGTCGAGAAAGTCTTCCAGATTTTGAAAATACTGAGGTTTCTCGTTATCGCTGGCTTTTCGTATGATTTCGCTGCTGCTGCTGCCGCCACGGAAAGGTGATCTCTCCCTTGCCGCCCCATTAACAACAACTGCATCATCCATGGATCCGAACGAACTGGGCACTACTTGCAAGTTTTCCATTTGTTGCTCGATTTTGTTTTCCTTTGTGTCAAAGGCAAGCTGCCCTTCGTTTAGACCCACATTCATATCGATGTGGTTGTTATTCAGTTTCTTATGTAGATCATCCCTAAGGTCGTTGTTCTTCGGTTTAAGTCCGTTTTTGGAATGATCTCCTTTGATATTTTCGTAGCCGGTGGTGGTGGTGGTGGTATAGTATTCCAAATCGTGCTCTAGCTTAACCTTCTGCTCTTGTTGTTGTTGTTGTTGTTGTGTACGCTCCTCCTGCCTGCCGCCGATTAATTTGATTGTTTCATCCGCCGTCGCGTTCGGCGGATGCGACGACGGCTGCGATTCTGCTGCGATGCCATCAGGTGTTGTTTGGGGCGAGGCAGCTAACTGAAAAAACTTTTTCGACTCGTTTAGCTGATAATATTGCAGCAGGAACTCAATGGTTGGCTTTTTGCTCGAGCTAAATGACGACTGGTGCTTCGAGGAGTCCTCGTCATTTTTACGATAGTATTGTAGTAAAAAATCATAGCTGCTGACCTTCTTCAGTTCGCTCTGTTGATAGAAATTGCTCAAGAATTCCAGCTCCAGGTCCGATTCGTTGTTTCCCTGCTGCTGCTGCTGCTGCTGTTGAATTAGGAATTGCTGCTGCTTCAGCTCTGGATTGGTTTCATGCTGCATAAAGTATTGGTATAGGAACTCGTATTTCTTTTGTGTAGTCTCAAATTCTCCCATCGATGATGATGCCTCCGCATCTGCATTGGATGAGCTTTCGGAGCATTTCCTTTTCTTTGCCGGAGGCGGCTGTTGATTTTGCTGCTGCTGCTGATGCTGCTGCTGCTGCTGCTGCTGTTGGGCCGCCTGCTGCAAGCCTTGTAATATGGTGCCAAAGGGACCGTAGGCAGTTTCCGACTGATTGGACGACTGATGGTGGCTAGCGGGAAAGAGTGCCGGGCTCATTAGGTGCATCAATTGATGCTCACGCAATAGTTCCAATTGATTGAACTGCATTTCGCATTTGTCACACTCAAATTTCGGCAATCTCTGCTGGTCCAGACTATTGCTGCGCTCCCGCTGCGGTGGTGTTGGCGTCGTCGATGGACTGAAATCGGTTAGGGATGAGGCCTTGCTAAACAGATGCTGCGGCGAGGGCGATGACCCGAACGGCTGATTGCCGGAATGGGCTGCTGCCGCAGCAGCGGCAACAGCAACGGCAGCTGCCACATTTTGTGGCGCCAAACCACCCAAACCCGCCGCTGCCCCGCCGGCGGCATGATGGATGTCCATAGAGGAATTTGAATCCTCTGAGCTTAGATTGTGGGCTATTTGGGCGGCAGCGATTTGTGCCTTAGCCGACTTCTTGTTGTTCTCCTCCTTGAAGCAGTGGTTCTTCTGATGGCGTATCAGCTCGTAGTAGCGCTGAAAGACCAGGTTGCACTTCTTGCACGCGTAGTTGATGTTCTGCTTTTTGGTCTCTTCGCTTTCGTACAGCGAATTGTTTGGCTGATTCTCGTAGATTTTGCGCTGCTTTTGCCGTGCATTCTGAAACCAGACAACAATCACGCGTGGCGACAGCAGCAGCAGCTTGCTCAAATACTCCAGGTCGCTATCCTTTGGATACGAATTGTTCTCAAAAAACTCTTGCAGCACCTTAATTTGATAGTCAGTGAAGCGTGTCCGATTCGCGCGCTTTCCGCCGGACGTTGACGACGATGAATTCGACGAGTTCGAAGAGTTGCTCTCCAACTGGGCACATGCTGACGACGCTGCTGCTGAAGGCAATGATGCGGAGACGGAGACGGAGCCGGCACTTGATAGCTTCTCGAATGATTTACCCGCGATTTGCAGTTTCTTGGGCGGACCCATGTTGCTGCCGATATTCTCCAGCTGCTGACTTAGTAAATCGTTCATGCTATTATACAGATTGTTGGCCGCAACACTATTTGGTGTTGGCGGCCGCGACAGAACATCAGAGCTGCCGCTTTCCGACTTGGTTTCAAAGCAATTGGTCTGATGATGCTGCTGTTGGTGCTGTTGATGCTGTGGCTGGCTCTGATAGTGGTGCATAGACGATCCAGTTGCCTGCATCGAGGAGACGGTGTCATGCATCAAGTCCTCGTTTGGGTTTGGTTGGACCGGATCTGACGTCTCTGACGCCTGCTGTTGTTGTTTAAGAAACTCAAATACTTGCTCCTGTTGCTGTTGTAGCTGGCGTTGGTTTTTATGAAACGAATAGTCACTCGCCGAATTATCATCCTGCGGCTCGGCCTTTATCTGAACCTCCAATGGCAAGCTCAAGACGCCCAAATTCTCCGGCTCCGGCTTGGAATCCCTCATCAGGTGGTCAGCCTGCGTCTTGAAATAGTCCGATATGTTGCCGCTTAAGTTTGTCGATGCCGATGCCGCCTCCGCAGTCGCAGCTGCCTGATTGTTAGTTGTTGCTGTTGCTGCTGCTGTTGTTGTTGGCGGTAATGCAGGTAAAGGTAAAGGTAAAGGGAGAGGGACAGCGACAGGGTCCGGCAGGGGAGTCACCTTGGTTTGGCCAGTGCGTTCGTACTCCTCCAGATTGAGCGTAGTTGATGGCGGATTATTAAAGTTGTATGGCGAGTCTTTGTTCCGCTGCCGTTCTTTAAACAACGTGTTCCGGAACCAATGCTTGACAACCTGTGCGAATATAAAATAAATGATTTCGTTATTCCTTTCATATTCATTCACATATTTTCTCTGCTCTTGTTTAAGCTAGTTCGATGTTGTGGTACCTTCATTGGTAGATTTGCTTTCTGTGACATTTCCATGATGCTCTCCTCGCTGGGTGAGTTATTAATGTCGAAATGGGCCCGCAAAATCTTTAGCTGATCGTCTGTAATGCGGGTGCGTGCGCGTTTCTGATTGCTGCTCAATTGTTGCTGTAAAATAGTGGAGAGTGGGTTACATATATGATTCGATGGGAATTTCTCGATTCGATTTACCTGGCTATTGTTAGTTACATTCGACTGTGGCATCATATTGTCGCTTGCACTGCCGGAGCATTTTTGTTGCCGCTCCGACAGACATGCAACCGAGGTGGTGCCGCCGCCAGACATCGATGTGGCTGGGGCAATGCCATTGTTCTGGATCCCTCCGGTTGCTGCCGCTGCTGCTGCTGCGGCGGTTGTTCCGCTGGAAGAGTTGGCTCCAAAGATTAATGGAGGTGCTAGATTCATAAAATTGAGTGACATCAAATGATGAAACTGCATCAGATTGAGCATGTCCACCGGATTGATTGGCATTCCCGATGCAGCCGCAGCGGCGGTCAGCTGTTGTTGAATTTGCTGCAAGTTCTGTATACTTTGAAGTCCGTGAAATGACTGCTGATTCCCGCTGATGCTGCCGAAGGGGCCCTGCTGAAGCGGTTTCACCTGAAGCTGATGCATTCCGCCCGGAGACATGGCCATTTGATTATCTGCCTCCTGCTGCTGCTGCTGCTGCTGCTGCTGTTTGAGCAATGCTGCGGTCAGCGCGGCAAAGTGGTGCTGCTGTTCAGTTGAGGGATCATCGAGCGCGTTTGGCGATAGCTGATCGGAAAGCTGATGCGGCAAATCCTTCGATTGTGTTTCGAATTGAAACGGCGATCGAGAGCGCTGCGGCGACTGCTTGACAGACTTGCTCGTCGTTTTGGCAACTGAAAAGGGAAGTTTCCAATTTAAATTTCATTCATATTGGTGCGATCTGGAGGACTTTTTCATATTAATCGTCTGCGGTAAATAATGGATCTATTCAAAGGACTTGACTAATATATATACTTATATTGCAATTCGAATAAATGCTACGACGGGCACTCTAATACTTAGTATTGGCCTGACGATAAGCTTGCGGCTTGCGACTATCTATTGGAAATGGGTAAAAAGGGTATACTGTTCTTGGCATATGTATGTAACACGCAAGAGCCATCCCATGATCTCGATACCGAAAACTACAACAGCGGAAACTACAACAACCGAGCGAGAGGCGCCGTCTTGTACCATAGGACACGGTTCGCGAAGTACAGAACGAATACAATCTACGAAGAAAGTATGTACTAAGACTATCTACTTGCTAAATAGTTAAGAATCGATGACTTTATTAGAGGAAGAGAAGACGCCGAGCAGAATACTCTATAATGCGCGTTTATCACAGTCATCACAGAGAAACCTCAACTGAATTGAACTGATAAAGGTGCTAGTCTAGTTGGGATAGAGAAGTTTTATTTGCTAGTCAACATAGAAGAATCGATTACACCCGATTACACCCATAATTAATTAGGTAGGAGGAAGATTAATCATGAGAAGTCTGTTGGCGTGTGACGATAACCAGACACGAGAATCCCAATTTAAAGCACAAGAATTGTTTCTGTGCAGATTCAATTCTGTCTTAGATACACGAGGCATACTCTAGTATAATTCGTACCAAGTATATATATATACATATATCTTGAGGGTCTTTGTCGTGTGTGGATCGTCGAAATCCTTTGACTTACCCGATTCATTTGTACGCGCTGTGGAAAAGTCAAAAACATTTGTCTCAGTTGATGGCTTTTCCACCATTTCGCTTGAACTGAAGCTGGGCGAGAGGTCCCGCGGACTGCTGCCCATAACAGCCGTACATTCGGCCGAATGCGACTGTTCCATATGCTTGTGAAGGGCCTGAGTGCTGCGGAAGTTGCGCTGGCAAAGGGAGCATTTGGTAGCGTCCCGCATACTGTGATAGAGCATGTGTGCGGTCAGCTTTTCCTGTGTCTTGAACGCCAGCGAGCACTGCTTGCAGCGGTACTTATAGACGTGTCGCTCCGAGATCACGAGGCTCATGTGCGAGTCCTTAAAGTGGGCAATCATCGACGGCAAGCTGGCAAAGGTCATAAAGCAGGGACGGCTAACATGTGTAACGGCCAGGCAATGGTATTCGCCGTTTTGCACTGGATAATGTTGCGTTTGTTGGGCATGTTGCAGCAGCTGCTCCTCGTGCTTAAAGTTGGCGTCGCACTGTTGGCATGAGATGCCCTGCATAGCCCCGGCGGAACAGCTCGATGTTGTTGTTGCTGTTGTTGATGATGATGATGATGTGGTGGTGGTGGGTGTGGATGTGGATGTGGATGCATAATCTTCGGCATTGACAATATTACACTTGCTCTCCTGCAGCACCCTTTCCGAAGTTGTTGCCGGTTCCGGGGTTTTTAAGGGTCGCCAGGCCTTGTGGTTAACCAGCTGCAGGAGCCTAGCGAGGCCATCTCGCGTAACATTGTGCACGCTCATCAGATGAGCTTCCAGGGAAGATTTCTCACTATATCCGCTCTCCAGACAGAGGGGGCACGATACACCCGACTGGGGCATAGTTTCAGTTTCAGTTTTTGGCGACAGCCTGCTCTTGTTCCGATTGCTCTCCAGATCAAGGTCGGCGTTATTGTTATCCCTAACATCGGCGGCACTGTTCGTCATTGGATCATCGCTTTCTTCCAGCCGCTCGCGCTTAATATCAATGGGACAATCGCTGTCGCCACCGGCACGTCCCTCTGCCTCCGCCCCAGCGGTTGTCGATGTGGGCGTGCCACTGGCATTGCAGCGATGGACAGCAGCCAGAGCAGCGGCTGCAACGGCCGTCTGGAAAGCTTGCAGAGCCGCCGTGTTTGTTGGTATGCTGATATAGTCATCGCTCTCCGCAGTCGGGTGCAGGGTCTCGATGTGACCTTCTATGTCCTTTTTAGATTGCACAAAATATTCGCACAGGTTGCACTTAAAAACGGTGGTGGACGCGCTTGACTGCAGGTCAGCAGCAGCTATTGGCAATGGAGATGCCACTGGTGGCTGTGCTTTGCCGCACGATGTCGAGCAGCTGGAGACAGAGGCGGGCGAAAATATATTGCCATCTGTTGATGATGCACTTGCCACACCGTATCCGACTTCCGTGCCAGCTCCAACGGCAGCTGTCGTTGCCAGGTTAAGTCCACAGTCAAGGCTTGGATCTGAAATTGACCATGTGAACCATTTGTGAAACAGTAATAATTTTAATAATGAAAACATAGTACCCCTTGGGGGTTAACTAAGTGTTAAATACTTTTATGAAAAAATAAATAATATAACATAATTTTCAATTTTGATATTTCCGGTAGTTTTGGTATACAAATAAATACATTTTTATATTTAATGTTAAGACTCAGGGAATAAGAACATTCAAAACCTAGCACCCCGCTCAATTCGTACTCATTATACCCTGAACCCATTGAAAATGGGTAAAGAGGGTAGAATCTCTGCAAATGTATGTTACAGGCAGAAGGAAGCATCTTCGACCCCATAAAGTACATATATTCTTGATCAGCATCAATAGCCGAGTCGATCTAGCCATGTCCGTCCGTCCGTCCGTCTGTCCGTATGTATAAACGTAAGGATCTCAGAACCTATAAGAGCTAGAGTCTTGAAATTTTAGCTGTAGTTCCTCCTATTTACTGCATATACAAGAAATGTAGTATACTGCATAATGTAAACGTTCAGTTCTATTCTATTCGAATTGTACATATATAGACAGCAACAAAATCATACATACATACATACATACATACATACATACATACACACATACATACATACATACATACATACAAAACAAACATACATACATACATACATACATATGTAAATATATATGTAAAAACATATAATTGAACATACATACATAAAAAATAAAACAAAAACAACAAAAATACCAAAAAAAAAAAAATAAAACATTACACTATTAGCTAGGCAAGAAAAACTGCAGAGCCTAATTGAATTCTTGAGAATCGAGGAGAGGAGCAATTGGTAAAAATTCTTTTTATTTAAATTGTGCAGCACATCGACAAAAAAGTTTGAGCTGCGTTTTGTATTAGTAAACAAATAGGCATGCATACATAAATACTTAAATACATATACATATCTGTGCATACACTAACAAACACACGCACACACACACGCACATATATAACACATACATATATGCACATACATATATGCCTTCGTAGAAAATACTTGTATATTTAGATACATATAAACCTATTGGTTCTAACTGCGTGATTGATTGACTGACGGGTTGATCAACTGACTTTCTTTTCTTTTATTTATCATCTTATCGCCGTTAAACTCATTTTGAAAGAGCTGTGCAAAATTTTGTTGTGGAAGTTTTATACAAATTTAAAAAATTGCAAACTCAAGATTGCGGAAAATGCACTTTACTGCGTGGAAATGTAGTTTCAAGCAAATTATTTTTTAAATAATATTCTCTTTCTCTATAATCTATTGATTCTTATTTAGTTTTACTGTCAAACACTCAAAATTAAATATATTAAAAATAAATAAATATATATAAATATAAATTAAAAATGCGTGTGATAGTGATATGAGAAGTACATGAAAGCTTTGGTACTTTAAGTTATGCTGACTAACAAACGATAGTCAATGACCTGTGTGTGTGTGTGTGTGTGTGTGCATACAGAAACAGAACCACACACAGTTGTGCTTTTTACGTACAGATTAATAATGCTGTAAGAGCCCTTTGGCTAATCAATGCCTTTGATAATAGGAACGACCACAACAAAAGCGAGACGCAGAACAAGTCATGAGCAGCAGCAGAAAGCGAGAAGAAGAAGAGACACGGTCGGTCCCTGGCCCTGGTTTGGGCCGGGACGCGGCGGCCTGTCCGTCTGCCACGGTCGCAATCCCGGTCTCAGCATCGGGTTTAGTATGGGTCTTAGTATGGGTCTTAGTGTTGCGTTGGTGTTGGCCTCAGCTGCGTAGAGTTAATTGCAAGCAAGGGTGCAGAGCGTTGATACGACGACCAAATGCGAATATATTTCAAATTCCATTACCAATTTCAAAGCAATTTCCATACAGCTTGATTGCATCAAATTAAAAAGCCGACAACAAAAAAAAAATGAAAATCAAGACCATTGGCGTTCTGTGGCTCTACGACCGACTGCACGAGGAAAATGAACTTGGCCAAAAGAGACCGACAGAGAGAGAGAGAGAGAGAGAGCGAGCGAGAGAGCGAGAGAGAGAAATGAAACTAACCAAACTGATGTGTGCATGGGTATTACTTGTGCTCCTGCCTTTGTTGTTGTTGTTGTTTGTGCTATAATCATGCGCAGCTGTTACCACTGAAGCGGTCACGAGGCAACAGCAACAGGAACAGAGCCACCAGTTAGCAGCTAGCAGCAGCACCATCTTCATCATCGGCAGAGAGGAGCCTGAGCCTGAGCCTGCCACCGCCGCCAACACCAAAGCAAAATAAGAAAGAATGCCCCAACCTGGATATACCCTGCTCTACGATAATCATCATATTTACAGAAGCTTTCTTCTTAGGAAAATTTATTAAGAATATTATTCATTTATTATTATTTTTAAATATTTGTATTTATCGAAATTATAGTTAGTTTATCAAATAGACCCTGCTCTCTCTCTGATATTCATCATATGCTTTCTTTATAATCAAATTGGTAAAAAATATTTTTAAATATTTTAATTTATCGAAATTATAGTTTATTTATCAATAAGAGCCTGCTAACTGGTATTTATCATATTTACAGACGGTCTTTCTTTTATTTAAAAATATATAAAATTAATAAAATTTGTTTAAAAAAAACGAATTACGACATGAACCCGAAGTTTTATCAACTTTTCATTTTTAAATACGCTCTTTTTTATTTATTTTTTTTTTTGTTATCCAAATGTTATTTTAGAAAATATAGTTCGATTCAGGTTAAGGTTCGAATGTTGTTTGGTTCAGAGTTAATACAAAATTTGAATTCGGGGTTAAAACCGGTTCGGTTCAAAGCCGGAAATCCTTTAAGGAAATTCTATGAGTTCATATGGTGCAGATCTTATCGGAAAATGTATTTCTGATAGATCATATACATATATATATACGTATATATTTATATACTTAACTGACAGATCTAGCTGCATACATTTTGAACAAATAGGAGGAGGAACTTTATTATACCCTGCATTTTGAGTTGTTTAAAAGGGACATATAACAAAAAGTGATCTTACACCAACAACAACAACAACAACAACAAAAAAGAGCTCAATGCACATAAAGCAAAGGTGCGGGCTGCAGAACGAAACGGAACGGAATGGAGCGGAATGGAAGAAGCTCAGGTTCACTTATGACTTAAGATGTGTATAATTATGCAGATATATTTGGTGCCAACAATTCAATGCCATCCGAATCTGCAACGGCAACTGCGACGGCAAAAGTCAGCAGTAAGAGGAACTTTAGGTAATCTATCTGGGGACATTTTCTGGTAGACTATAGAAAATTGATTAGTGCCATATTTTTAGTAGGAGAGTCAAATATCAATTAAAAATATCAATTTCCCTTTCACAGTTGGGCTTTTATGATGTGGAAAACGAGGTTCACGAATTGAACCGAACCGAACCTCAAGGCAGGAATTTGGTTGGGGCGTTGGGATTTGCAGCCAAAGTCTCCCAGGATGGTTCAATCGTCCCAAGTCAAGACTAAGAGCAATTACAATCCAAAGGCACCAACTGCTGTTCGAATTAACTCGAATGAATGCAACCACAAACGCGGGAGAGAAAATTGAGTAGAATATTGCATACCCTAAACGGAGAAGGAGGGAGGCAAGGCAAGGGAAGGGAAGGGAAGGGCCTATTATCATTGAGAATAAGTACGGTGTGTGCTATTGGGCTAGGGAGATACCCTGTAGCTGCCGGTGGGTGTTTAGAGTGCAATTCCAAATCGAGATTTGAGAGCGTATTTTGTGTGTGAGGAGCCGCCGCGTTTGTTGTGTGTGTCTCCGGTTAGGGTCTGGATACTCTGTGGTTAGGTGCCATGCCTGCGGTTCGGCTCCGCACGACGCCGCATCTGATATGGCAATATCACACTGTGGCTTTGTATGTTTGCCTCTTCGAAGCAGCGGCGACGGCGACGGCGAATGGACTTTAACTGGGACTGCGAATGCGATTGGGACGGGAACGGGGACGGGGACGGGACCCAGGTCTGAGGCTGGGGCTGGGGCTGACGTGGAGCAAAGTGTGCACGTCACTAATTGCAAATTCGATGGATACATATAATCGTTTTTGCATTCTTAAGTAATTTGTAATAATTTCCTCAAGGGTCAGCTTCGGCGTATAAATCTCACAGCGCATATAAATCGCACAAGGGCAACGCGAGAATACGCGAACGACAGAGTATGAGTCGGAGCATGAGTTTGGGTTCGGGTTTGGGTTTGGGATTGGGATTGGAAAGCACAGGGGACAAGGACGATAATAATCGAAGAAGAGGGCAACAAAAAAAAATTCAAACCAAAATCAGCGCTTAATGATGAGTTACGAACGCACCGTATTATACAGTCGAAAGTATATATGCAGACTGTTGTAAGAAGGCAAAATAATTGCAGATTGCAATGGATGGAAGCATTTTGTACCTTAAGGTGCTGGGGCGAAGGTCAATCTGATTATTGAATATGCATTTTTAATTACTTTTATACATATATCAAAAATCTAATGCAGACTTGTTTATGCATATTTAATTACGTTTATATATCATAAAGGTAATACAGACTTGTTTATGTATTTTTAATGACTTTTAAAAATATCATAAATATAATGCAAGCTATATAACCAATATAACTTAAGACTGAGTTTACAATTTTGGTTTAACCCTTTCAATTTGCGTCTATATTTATGTCCTCGTCGAGGTCATCAGAAGAGTGTCAAAAAATGTACAGAAGTAGGCGTCTTTGGCCCCATACTCTATATTCATATACATCCTTGATCAGTAGCAAAATGCGAGTCGATATTGCCAGGTGCGTCTGTCTGTCAGTTTGTCGATTTCTATGCAAACTAGTCTTATAACTATTGCCTTAAGAGCTTGAAAATGTGTGTCTTTCTGTTTTCTTCTTATTTATGGTCAGATCGGTAAACTTTATTATATAGTTTTTGTATGAAAAAATCGGCTTTTACCTGCCCCATCCCAAAAGCTAAGTTCCACCCAGTTTCCGTTTCAGTAAATATATCGGAACTGGTCGGATCGGATCACTATATCATATAGCTGCCATAGGAACGATCGGTCGAAGAGTAAGATAATTTTACCTAATTTGCGATTTATTAGTCCGACTATGATCCTCATATATATGTATATGCAAAATCCTCCGAATATCGCACCACTATATCATATAGCTGCCATAGGAATAATCAATCGAGCAGTAAATATGTCAAAGTATGGCACATGGCCAGATATTTTTATTAAACTCAGCATTTACGACCCTTACGAGCAACATATCTGTACTCACATATTTTAAAAAACGGCCCTGCAAGTGGGAAAAACGCAGCTCAAAGCTTGTATGACAGAACAGAAGAAAAAAAAAATACATATACAATACAATATAGTCATGTTGTGGTGACATCGGACTGACAAGCGGAAAGTCGCCGACTCGAAATCAAATAATAATAATAACAAATTTACTTTATTACTTTATTGAATTTGTTATTATCACCAAGAAAAATGGCAATATTAGTAAATACAAAAAACACCAATTATAATTAATATTTTTTTTGTTTTTCAAATGTATTCTTGGAAGTCTCCATTCAGTAGGGGAGATTTAAATATAGGGACAGCTGCCTAAAACATTATATATATACTAGCGGGTACAACCCGGCCTTGCCCGTGGCACGTATGTTACAAAATAAATGTTCTCAAAAGGCTTTGAAAATGATTTTGAAACTGATCGGACGGTTAACAAACAACTTTCATACACCCGTTTTCCGCCAATTTACCACTGTTACGGGTGGAATTTCCCAAATCGCTGAAACCCGTAATTATTAGATTCTTATGTAAAGCTTTGAAAATAAGTTTGAAACAAATCGGACACAACTTAAAACTTCGCGCAAAAAATCATTAAATCGCATTCCCCCCGAAGAAGTTTGAATTCTGCGAAAAGTGTGAAACACGTCTCAAATGATTTTACTTAAAGATCTCTGGAAATGAATTTGAGCGCTAAGCGTCACCCACCAAATCTTTGACCTCCATTTCCACCAAGAAGGAATGGATTTTCCTAAAAGTGTGAAACACCCCTCAAATGAATTCGAACAAAGATGTTTGAAAATAAGTTTCGGGATGATCGGATGGTAAACAAAAAGGTTACATACAAACGTTTTTCGCGATTTTTCCATACTTGCGGGTGGAATTTCCCGACATCACACAAGGTAACCACAGTGAAAATTTCAGCTTCCTAGCTCTTACGGTTTAGGCTGTGCGTTGATTACCAATCAGTCAGTCAGTCAGTCAGTCAGTCAGTCAATCAATCAGTCAGTCAGTCAGTCAGTCAGTCAGTCAATCAGTCAGTCAGTCAGTCAGTCAGTCAGTCAGTCAGTCAGTCAGTCAGTCAGTCAGTCAGTCAGGACAAACAGTTTTAAATATAGAGATAACTTCATGTTTTTTCTAAAATATTATATAATTCATTATATAATACGTATACTTGTATTTGTGAAATAAAATTGAATTAAAATAGAAATAGAATTTGTGCATTTTTTTCTTCTCATTGTTGTTGTTGTTGTTGTGTTTTATATTTGTTTTATGTGTGCCAAAGTCTTCTTTAGTGTTCATCTTTGGAATAAGTATATGTGCAAATGTGAGCTTTGTGTGGAATTTCGTGTTAACAAGAGGAATATATATGCGAGGTGGAGATATAATTAAATATGGACAATTTTTGTAAGAGAGTAGGAAATGGCACGTGGAAGAGGAAGCTGGCACCACAATTGCAGTGCATAAAAACAATGTCAAGTTAAATCAAGGTCAGGTCACGAGTAGAAGAGATAGCTTAGAGCCAACAAAAGAAATAAAGTAACAACGTTAAGAAGTTGGGGAAAATAGTGTAAAGTGACAAGTGAAAAGTGAAAAGTGAAAAGTGACATACCTTCAGTGCTGGTGGTGGCCGTTGGCAGTTGGTCGATCACCTTGAATACCTCATTGAGGCCGAGCATCTCGATGTTTTCGCTGCGGCGCTGCAGGCAAATGAACTGTTCGACCTGCATGTGCCTTAGTCCCTTCACATGCTGCACCATATCGTGCAGATTTTTGGCCACAAAGTTGCATAGATGACAGCAGAGCGCTTTCTTCGGCTGCTGCTGCTCCTGATCCCCGTCATGCATCATGGGCGACTCGCGCTCCCGTTCCCGTTCCCGGTCCGAGTGGATGAGGGAGCTCTTGCGCATACGGCTCTTCTGTATTATGATGAGCAAATGCTGAAAGATCATGCGCATTGTGTCGTGTCGCATCTGCTGCGTGTGCAGCGATAGCTTCTGTATGGAATTGGTGTGAAAGTCGCAGCAGTTGCATCTCAGCTGGACGACATTTGTGGCCAGCTGTGGCTGATACTGCAGCTTGTACTCGTTGCGGGCTCCGCCCTCACGGATGTGATTGATGAAATTGAGCTTCTGCAAGTGCTTGTCCGTCTTGCTGTGCAGCTGAAAGTTGGCCTTTAGGTTCGTCTTGTAGTTGCACAGTCGGCATATATAGTTATTGTTGTGTATGACCATAATGTCCGCCGAGGCGCTCGAGGATTGACGCGAGCGATCCAGCAGCAGATGCTGATTCAGCTCGTCCATGTCATTGGTGCTAAAGCAGTCGCAAATCAGGCAACTGTACAGCGCTGTCGGCCACAATTCCGGCAGGCTGTCCGGATATAATGATGATGCATCCAGCGTTGTCTCCCCCCCGCCGGATGTCGAGCACGTCTCCATGGCCATGCCCATGGCGAGGTTGAGGCCTTGCGGCATCTTCAGGGGTTTCGGTGAGTACGACGCAAACGACGACGCATGCATCTGATCCGGCGTGCTAACCGGGGAGCTCGACGTGGGCGACATCATTTTGCTATTGACCGAGGAGGTCGGATTCAGCTGCTGCAGCTGTTGCTGTTGGGCGTTTTGCTGCAGCAGCTGAATCATGAGCGCCTGGTTGTAGGCCAGATCGGCCAACGCCACCTCCGGCACGGGCACGGGTATAAAGCCACTGGTGCCACTGGCCCCGACTCCGGGTGATCCTTGCTGCTGCTGCTGCAAGAAGTTGAATGCCTGTATGTGCTTGATGTTGTTCTGGAGCACGGCCATATTGTGTGTATGCTTCTCGCTGGTCATGTGTATGCGCAGATTGCGGGCCACGGATGTCTCGTAGCTGCAGATATCGCAACGGAACGATGGCTTTGGTTTGATCGACGCCGATGACACCGTCGACGAACCCATACCCGAATTGGCTGCGCTGCTGACGATGACACCACCGACACCGGAGCTGCACGACGGGCTCGAGGTCGCTTGCTGCGGAACTCCCACTCCCACTCCCGATCCCATCCCGACGCTTGTGACTGGACCCGGGCCGGACCCGGCTCCTTGCGGGGACGGGCTGGGCAGCAGCAGTTTAGCGCTCGCTGCTGCCGCCGCCGCGACAGCGACCATGTTCTGGGAGCTGTTCAGCTCCTGCATGTTGTTCAAGTGCTTGTCGGACTGCATATGTATGGATAGGTTGCCTTTTGTGGTTGTCGAATAATTGCAAATCTCGCAGCGGTACGGCTTGTAACCGCACGAGTAGGATTCTCCGCGTGCCAGTCGTGGATGCTGTTGGCCTGCAACGGGGCAAAGATAGGATACAAATTCAGTTCGAGTCCGAGAATACGAAAGAAATGGAAATGGAAAGTAGCTAACTCTTCTCTCCAAAATACATTTGCAGACAATTCTATTGTGATGCATCATTTCATATAGACAAGTCGCTATTTTAGGTTCTGATCAAACTGTTTTTGTATTCTTTCACAATTAACTGCATAAAGCTTATGCAAAGTTTATGCAACAGGCTGAACAAGTAATCTCTGATCCTTTAAAAACTGATTCTGCTTTTAATTATCATCCACAGCCAAGTCGATGTAACCTGACTTGTTTGTCGACCTAACTCTTTATTCCACTTACAGATTTAAAAAGAAAATACTATAATAATTTTATCGAAACCTAAATACATCTCCCATTGGTTTCAACTAAAGAATTTCAATTTTTATATCTGCATCAAATCATGAAAATTATAACAATTTGTTAGAAATGATTATGTTTCTCATATTTTTTTGTCTTGGCATAACAAATTTGAGTATGTTGATTCTTGATCAAGACTAAGAGGCGAAAAAAGTAATCTTGCGGGAATTGCCAGGAATTGTGGTATGCATTAAACTTGATAGTTAAATATGAAGTTGTCTGAACTTACCTGCCAAACAGTATCCACAGGCACTCTCGCCGTCTGGATGTTTTTCACGCATGTGGATTTCCAATGTCTCCTGATATTTGTAATGCCAATTGCACTGCGGACACTTGAGGGTCTTGCAGGAGTTCCTCGTGGACATCTGGACGCCGCTGTTGAGACGCGCCGAGCTCAACAGCATTTCGCAACTGCAAGATACAACAAATACAACAAATCAAAGGACTTCAATCAAAAATGATGTACGAGTCGAATTAACCGACTGAATATACCCTATATACAAAACAATTTCCAATATGTGTATAATATACATATTTAATATCGATTCTAGAATTGGATATTTCATACAAGCCAATCAATCTATCTTTATTTAATCTTTGAATACCCTTTTACTTATCCTTGATCAAAAATGATGTACGAGTCGAATTTACCGACTGAATATACCCTATATACAAAACAATTTCCAATATGTGTATAATATACATATTTAATATCGATTCTAGAATTGGATATTTCATACAAGCCAATCATTCTATCATTATTTAATCTTTGAATACCCTTTAATTATCCTTATTCAAAAATGATGTACGAGTCGAATTTACCGACTGAATATACCCTATATAGACAAACCAATTGCAATTAATCAATCGATCTTTATTTAATCTTTGAATACCCTTTTGGCAGATTATTTGTTATAGCAGCTGGATACGGAGTATCTGCAAGTCGGGCACTCTCTGGCTCTCTGTCGCAAGTGTAACATCATATCGATGGTTGTGCAGACAGCTGTTTGTATATTAAATTGAAGTAAATACGATTCACTTATAGGGGCTTCAATCTCAGCATTGAAAATATTCCGGATACATAACGCGATCATAATTACTTAATTCAGAGTGCCTACACTCTATTGTGAACGAAACGTACATCAAATAATAGCTCACAATGGCGGGCCGAGGCACCCTACAAAGTGTTGATGAAACTTAATGATACCGAGGCGCGAATTGCGACAATTGCATTGAAGCAGAACCAGAATCAGAATCAGAATCAGAATCTGAATATGGCATTTATTAAGTGAAATCAGCGCAATTGGTTTAATTTATTTTAGTTAAGCCGAGCCGAGTCGCCCTTGCTCACGTCCGCCCGGTTCCTTCCTTCCCACAGCTCATTCTCATGCCCGGCTCATAAGAGAGATCTCCACAATGAGTTCATTTAAATGAGCTCTTATTTAAATACCATTGTTTGTGATTTAAGTTTAAATCAAGCTACGTAATATTATATCGCTATATCGCTATACGAAGCGCCTTCTAATTCAAAATGACATTGCGAAAGTCCAAATATCGCACTTCAGGCTCTTGCAGGCATATTACCCGATAAATTCATGCGACATTTATATACCTTTAATCCTAGTGCCAGGCTGCCATTTCTCCTTCTACACATTTATGAATGGCAAATTTATTCTTGATTAACTTCGACAATTATAGTCTAGGACTTAAATATGACAGCCAAGTGTGTGTATATGACAAAGGGCAAGACTCGAACTTAAAGAATGAGTTTTGTTTTTGGGAATAGGCGAAGTTAAATATTCATAATATGTTCATATGTGTTGTATATACGATAATCTACCAACTTTGGTGCTCTAGCATGTTTTAGAATCGATCGATTTGTGGATATTATTAAGCGACGAGATATCGATACAAATACAATATATGTATATATATACTAGCGGGCATTGCCCGGCCTTGTCCGTGGAACGCTTTGTGCTAAACATTTTAGATATTACTTGTCCACTAAAAATTGAAATCCGCCACAAAATACATCAAATTAAATTAAAAACAAGTAAGAGGTTCTAGTCGGGAGCTCCCGACTAGGGGATAACCTGAACCCTCTTCTTTCAACAGCCGATAGGTATAACATGAAAGATACTTGATATATATATACTATTCTAGAAGCTACATGTCAAGTTTCGTGATTTTATCTCTTATTATTTAACAAAATTGCTCAAAAACCGGTTTGATTACTTGGAAACGGGGCAAATTATCGAATATCGGAAACAAACTCGATCTGCGCGGGGACTAGGAGGACCTACAGCTAAAATTTCAAGTCTCTAGCTCTTATTGGTTCTGAGATCCTTGCGTTCATACATACGGACAGACGGATGGTCGGACGGACGGACGGACAGACGGACATGGCTAAATCGACTCGGTTATTGATGCTGATCAAGAATATATACACTTTATGGGGTCGGAGATGCTTCCTTCTGCCTGTTACATACATTTGCACAAATTCATTATACCCTTTTCAGGGTATAAAAAAAAGAATCATTTACTTTATCATTGGTAAATTAAATGAGTTCCTTTCAAGTGACGTCCACATTATTTAAGTGTTTGGAAGAAATATTTCTTGATGAAATTTCTTGGAACAAAATATATGTAATTATAAAAGAGCACAATTGGGATAAAAAACACAAATTTATAAAAAACTAGTAGAAAATGCCGATAAACTATAAATCCAAATAATAATTTGTTTAGTTTTGTGTTATTGTCATAAGCTTAAAATTTTTGAGATACATAAAAAACTCGCTTTGAATTTATATCATACTAGCGGGTATAACCCGGCCTTGCCCGTGGCACGTATGTTATAAAATCAGAAAAGCTTTGCCCTTAAATGAATTTGAACAAAGATCTTTGAAAATAAGTTTGGGGCCGATCGGATGGTAAACAAAAAACTTTCATACAACCGTTTTCCGCCAATTTACCACTGTTGCGGGTGGAATTTCCCAAATCGCTGAAATACGTATTTATTAAGTTCTTATGTAGAGCTTTGAAAATAAGTTTGAAGCAAATCGGACACAACTTAAAACTTCGCCCAAAAAATCTTTAATTCGCATTCCCCCCGAAGAAGTTTGAATTCTGCGAAAAGTGTGAAACACGTATCAAATGATTTTTCTAATAGATCTCTGGAAATGAATTTGAGTGCGAAACGTCACCCACCAAATCTTTGACCTCTATTTCCACCAAGGAGGAATGCATTTTTCAAAAAGTGTGAAACACCCCTTTAATGAATTTAAAAATAGATCTTTAAATATGAATTTGGGGCCGATCGGATGGTAAACAAAAAACTTTCATACAACCGTTTTCCGCCAATTTACCACTGTTGCGGGTGGAATTTTCCAAATCGCTGAAATACGTACTTATTAAGTTCTTATAAAGAGCTTTAAAAATAAGTTTGAAGCAAATCGGATACAACTTAAAACGCCGCCCAAAAAATCTTTAAATCGCATTCCCCCCGAAGAAGTTTGAATTCTGCGAAAAGTGAGAAACACGTCTCAAATGATTTTTCATATAGATCACTGGAAATGAATTTGAGCGCGAAACGTCACCCACCTAATCTTTGACCTCCATTTCCACCAAGGAGGAATGGATTTTCCTAAAAGTGTGAAACACCCCTCAAATGAATTTGAACAAAGATCTTTGAAAATAAGTTTGAGGCCAATCCGATGGTAAACAAAAAAGTTACATACAAACGTTTTTCGCGATTTTTCCACACTTGCGGGTGGAATTTCCCGAAACCCCGTCTTAACGTGCACCTACATCACATAAGGTAGCTACAGTGAAAATTTCAGCTTCCTAGCTCTTACGGTTTGGGCTGTGCGTTGATCACCAATCAGTCAGTCAGTCAGTCAGTCAGTCAGTCAGTCAGGACAAACAGTTTTATATATAGAGATGTATATTTATTTTTTCTCGAATAAAAGAAAGGGTTTAAAATAAATATTTGTGAGCCTCAACTTTAAATTTGAAAAGAGGAACTCTCACAGAAAGAGACTCGAGGAGTTTCACTTTTCTATATAGTCGGGCGAAGTTGTGTTTTTTCGCATATCAAGAATTTGATTTCCATCTTATTAACAAAGATCATGGTGTGAGTAATAATTCATTGAGTTAATTTGAATGCCATTGATGGAAGGATTTCAGCTCAGACCCCAAAGCGCATCCAATCAATGTGATCCCACAAATTCGAATGAACATGTGTCCCAAGGTTCATTTGCGTTTAAATGAACAACCGGCATAGCCGCAGGCACACAGCGGACGTGCTCCTGCTCCTGCTCCTGCTCCTCCCTCCCCCCCTCTCATGCATGATGTGCATGTGAAAATTAGACTAATGAGTTATTTTATGTCGGCGGAGCAAACCCCTTCGGACTGGCTGTCAAAGTTCAAACAGGAGCAATAATTGCGCATATTATACGAGCAGGCCGAGGCAGGCCAAAAACCGAAACCCCTTTTTTGCATTGTCAGCACGCGGTTGCCTTCTTCACCCTGCCCAAAACTCGACTGTCGACTTCCCCCTGCTGAGTCTAGTCGAGAGACAAGGCCAAGAGAGAGAAAAAAACCCATCCACCCTTTCATAACAAATAAAGCGCCGGGAGCACTTGCTTTCTCACGCTCGAATTGGTAATATTACGCTTGAATGATATAATTCTGTTTTACTGTTCTTTGTCCGCACTACCCTATTTCATTTATGGTTTTGGCTTAGATATATTGAAGTGCGAGATTACTGTAGTATTAGGTATAAATTATTACTAGGTCTGCCCCAGGTCACTCTTCGGAGGGAACTACTAGGATGCAGGAATGCCAAATTAAGCCCCATTAACAGTATGCTTTCCAATTAGACGTGGACTAATCCCAACGCAAGAGACGGAAACAAGACACCAGGTCGTCACCAACTAACTTTAGCCAGCCACATCAAAGGAACTGCAACTAGACTGACAAACCTAACGTGGCTGGTGTTTGGTACGACTCAACTTGGGATGATAGCTCCATAGAGACCTAAAGATTCGCTGGGTCGAGGCACAAATTCAAACCCGCAACGCGCCTCTATAACGTCACATCGGAGGGGCCTGAGAGAAGACTTAGGAAAAGCTCTTGCCCAAATATTTCCCCCTCATTTCCCCACAAAGCATGTATAGGATTACCATATCCAAAAGAAAATGTCAAATCAATCAAGTTTTTTTTAATTGTAAGAAACCCAAATCCAAATCTTTCAAAAAAAGGTCATTTTCATCAAATACGGTTTGCAAAAAATTCAATTCTGTTGCATTGTCTAAATACTGTGCATAATTCGGAATATTATTCCTATTTATTTAACAGTTAATACGTTGATTCGATTTATGAAAAGCAGCCCAACAAAATTTGTTGCCTTGGAGATGAATGTGGGGCGAGCCATTTGTGATTTTCCGCCTTTTGTTACGTTCATCTTTATTTGTTATATTCGAAAATGCCGCTGATTAATGTCTTCCCAATTATTCAATATATCAAGCTATAATATATATATATATATATATCATGCATCGTAATTATTTAATCAGAATACATAATTTTCTAATAGCATCACCGACCGATGCAGGTGTTTTATTTGCTCGTCCGGCCAGCTACGCCCCTTTTCACAGCTAATTTTGCCAGTGAGCCTATTAGAGTCTACAGCTAATAAGAAGCGTGTTAGTTGAGAAAATACAGCTCTTAAGTCAAAATGAACAAGTAAGAGGTTCTAGTCGGGACCCTGAACCCTCTTCTTCCAACAGGCGACAGGTATAAAAAATGAGAGATACTTGATATATATATACTATTCTAAAAGTTACATGTCAAGTTTGGTGACTCTAGCTCATATTATTTGCCGAAATTGCTCAAAAAACAGTATTTCGATATCGATTTTTATCGATTACTTGGAAACGGGACAAGTTATTATCGGAAACAAACTCGATCTGCGCGGGGACTTATAGCTCTTATAGGTTCTGAGATCCTTGCGTTCATACATACGGACAGACGGATGGACGGACGGACAGACGGACATGGCTAAATCGACTCGGCTATTGATGCTGATCAAGAATATATATACTTTATGTGGTCGGAGATGCTTTCTTCTGCCTGTAACATACATTTGCAGAGATTATACCCTCTTTAGCAATTTTCAATGGTTTCAGGGTATAAAAAAAAATTGTTGGTATTAAATAATATTTATTGAATATAATATAAAATATATATAAATATAAATATATATATAAATGGGTTTTTGCTGGGGCACTTACCGAGCACAATCGACGCCTTGAGGTCGCCCATTGATGTGGTCGGAGCAGGCGCCAATTGTGAAGCTTGAGGCGGCAGTCGCATTGCCAACGTTGCCAACGGATGAGGAGGCGCTGGGCGAGATGGGCATAGATGTGGACAGACCGCCGCTGCTGCTGCCATTCGGAGAGCGTGGTGGCTGCGACTGGGATTGGGATTGGGACAGAGATTGCGGAGTGGCCGGCGACCTGGTTCGGTGTTGAATATCAATCAATTCACAGGTTTTGCAGTCGACACCCTTAAAATCTGGATGTTCCAAGCAGCTGGCCGGAAACAAAAGCTGTTTTTGCTGCTGCTGCTGCTGTTGCTGTTGGTGTAGCTGCTGCTGTAGAAACTCGGTGAGGAGTTTGACACCCCTCGCGTTCTGTTCGTTGGCCAGGGCGGCGAGGGATGCGTGAAAGGAACTTAGTTGGGCCTGCATCGGTGGGAAGACGCCGGCAGAGCCAGTCACTTGTTGCTGTTGCTGTTGCTGGAGCGACAGGAGGTGCTGTTGCAATATATCGGCTGCTGTTAATGTGGCATCCGTGTCCATTTGATTCGGATTCGGATGCGGATGCGGATTCGGATGCGGCTGCTGAGGTGGTGGGGTTGAGTCCGAGCCAGACACAATTGGACTTGTGGTAACGTTCCCCGTCACTTCTGACCTTTGGCTACGTTTATTTGACTTATCGCTACCTATATTATCAGTACTAGCCTTCATACTATCTGCCGGAGGCGATCGTCCCACCTCGTCCCGACTTTCGACAACTTCTGCATCTTTCGGAGCCGGCGATTGAATTGGCGTGGACGCCGATGCGGGTGAGTTGCATGATATTAATGATGATGATGTCGTCGACAAAGTGGGATTGTTATTAGTCTTTATTGTTGCTGAATTTAAGGAACCAAATTTCACAGTTGATTTTGTTGCTATCTCGGCCTCGGCCGCGCCATCGGCCTTTGCCTCTGCCTCTGCCTCTGCCTCGGCACCAGCTCCAGCTGCAGCTCCATCCCCATCGCACTCGCTGAGGCGATCTTCTATGCTGGCGTCCACGGCAGATAGTTGATTGAGGGCGGCAATGGTTTGATTGGTATCGATGCTAGCTAGATCCACTGGCTCAACGGCATTGACATCCAGTGGCTGGAGAAACGATATCTGCGGCTTCTCATCCATATTACGCTGAATGATAGCACTGGAATATTCGCGATTTAATAGCTGTTGCTCCAGCTCCAACAGATTGAGCCGATGTTCCGAGTTCGCATGCAAGCTAAATGAGTTGACCGTGCCAAAGGACAGTTTGCATATAAAGCACATCAATATTGGCTTGTGCTTGTGACTTTGAATCGCATTCCTTGGGTCCTGGCAATGGGTGCTTGCATCTTGGGCCGACACCACACGAAACGAATGGATCTTTGGGCTCAGCTGCTGGCAACCACCCAAAATCGAACCCGAAACCGAACCCGAACCCGAACCGTCGCCTCCTCCCTCACTGTGTGCTCTATCCTCGAACTTTTCTGTTACTCTGCCACGAGATGTGGATTGTTGTTGTTGTTGTTGCTGTTGTTGTGTTGCAGACGCAGCTGTCGTATGTCCAGTATGTCCAGCGCTTGAGCTGCGATTTATGCTGGGAACAGTCGCATTGCCTGCATCGATAATTAACGCACTGCCGTCAAGATTGTAAACTATTTTGCCATTAAAATTTTCAACATCAGAGCTGGACATTGGAGAGCCGTCGTTAGCATTATTGGATTGCTGTGGAAAACCAAACAAATTTAAAATCAATTATCGAATATTTATCAAGCACATACATAACATAGCTAACCAACATTCCATCTACTATGTCGATGTTGACTACGTAAAGAAAGCCTCAGATAAACTTGCATCCAGCTCTATTCTCTATATCTAAATAATAGTTCTTGTCAATACCAGCTGGCATTTACCCGGCATTGCCCAGCAATGATATTTGACATACATAGATATTTGAAAATAAGTTTGAAATCTGCCTTTTTACATTTAAGATAGCTAATAGATGATTCTTATAGTTTAGCGTATTTTACTGGTATTAAGTGCCAGAGTTTGAGTCTAAAGGCTTCATAAGGTAAAAAAAAAGCATCTCCTGTTTGTAAAATTGTTCAGATATTTCCAGTGTGCCTGAGTGATATACACGCAGTGGTTCGTTTAAAAGTCTCAGACAAACTTAAGCATGAGTAAAAAAAGACGATAGAGTACTCAATAACAGAATGAGTATTATGCTAATACAAGGTTGCCAGACTATTGGAATGCTTAACATATGTTACTCATTTCACAAATATACTTTGATTCTAACTACTTGTCACAAAAAATGTAAGTCTTTCTTCTTCTCTTTGCAGAGGGTTGGGGGGTTGGCTCTGCTTTTTTTATTCTTCTCCTGATTCATTTATTATTCGGATTACTCGCGAGTATTTTTCGGGTTCTCCAGCAGTATTCATTTCAATTTGCATGCTTTATTTTTGATTAATTTACCATTTTCTGGATCCCATCCCATCCCACTGATTCGGCTATTTAAGTGGGGCTCCCTTTTTTTAAAGGGCAAAGCATTCATTTTACTACAATTTCGACTTTATAATATATAAATTAAATTATGCAATAAGCACAAATAATACGAATAACGAATTCGGAAAAGAAATTTCTGGGAAAGATACACATTTTGTAAATGTCGCCTAGTTCCACTGTCAACATTTCTTACATTTTCTTGCGAATGTCTAATTTTTTTTCTAATGTGAACTTTTTCCCATAAGAAAAACATTTTTCATTTGAACTTTTCAAAATATATTGTTATTCGCCCCGAATAAATTTAGCGAATTTCGTATAACTTAAAATTTGAATAATCCCACAGTTTTTATTCCATTAAATGGAGCCTCTATTTCGAGATTGTATTTTTTTTACTTTTGGAAGGAAAACTTTGCGGCGCTTGAGTAAATCAAATCCAACCGATCAGCTGTTTATTAAAAGAAGCGATACTTTTGACATTCATAATTTACCGACAACGGCGGACACTTGCCAATGGAAGCGCAAAATGTGAAGTTTGAAAATGTAACATTTTTTGAGCACAGTGGAATCAGGCTATTACCTTCCGGTTCCATCATCAGCAGGCTTTGCTATCTATCGCATCTAGGATGTGTCTTTCCCCTTTTTGGAGCTCTAACTTGAATTGACAGTTTTTTATGATTTGTTGTACAAGCTAAAATAATTCGTATGACCGCTTGCCCAATGTTAAATACATTGCACACATCTTCACATTCACATTCACATCCACATTCAGAGACTTATCACAGGCATCAGTTGATTTGAATGCCGTTGAGCAAGAAGAACAGCGATGACAACAGAGGTAAGAACACTAACAATGTAAAATAGGTAATTACTTGACAATTATCTGAAATGCGTTTTCAAAGTGCTTTATAGCTATTTAATGACAACGGGGCTCTGATGACAACTTAAATATGGTGTGCGTGTGCGCTCTGCCTGCCTGCCTGCCGTGTGTGTGTGTGTCTGTGTGTGTGTGTGTGTGTGCACTCAATGTAACTGCAATTTGCATTCAAACAAATGTTGACAATAACTACATGCATACGCATATGTATGTATGTATGTCCATACTCGAATGCACACACACACACGCATAGAAACTTTTGTGCATGAGCACAGACACAAACACACATACAGACATATGTATATATATGTATATATATATGTATACTAATTTGCCTACGATGAAATTAAAGTTCAAAGTTGGGCTTAGAGATGGGCGCGTGTCCGTTTTGTTTTTTATACATCACAAATTGAGATGACAAGCAATTTATCTTTTTTCTAGCTATATTTAGATCATTTCAGAAGTTCTGGCTATTTTTAAACTGTTGAGGCTATATTTCTGGCAGTTTCGAAAAATATACCCAACACAAGACGACTTATTTAACTTCGACTAATATAAACATAATAATAGCTATGTTTTTAACATTTTTGTTTAATCGATTCATCGATGTTTCCTTCTGATCAAGGGTTTATTTTCTTTATAGGATAAAATAGAAAGTATATATTTATATATAATAAGTAATTAATCAAAGTCTACACTTTATAATCTTTTTGAGCATAAATATTGTTCATAAATCACAGCTGACTTCAAGTGAATATTTATTTCCCGGTTCGGTTTCAACTTCACGTCAAACGATATATTTTACATTAATATGTGAAAATTAGTTTGAAGTCCATCGAATGTAAAGCCAAAATTTGAAATTAAAGTCATCCGCCTATTTTGTTCTCGTGATAAAAATATTAACGAAGCGAATCGAACGAAATAAATTTGAAACACTTCCTCTCGATATCGTTGACCACCATTTCCACCAAGGGGGGTGGATTTTGCAGAAAAGCGTGAAACACGTCTCAAATGAATTTGAACAAAGAGATTTGAATATGCGTTTAATCAAAAGGTAATCAAAAAAGTTGTGGATGACATTTTGCGAAAGATTCATCTTACCCTCTTCCGGCATCACATAAAGTAATTACCAGAAAAATCAGCGCTTCCCACCTCACCTGTCTTATATGTAGAAAAACAACTTAAGACTCTAGATTTTCGAACACAGCTTATTCTAGCTGTCAACTGTCAACCGACGTGCTCAGCACGCATGTTCGTGTCACGAAGCAATAGACGAAAGACGTGTCCATCTCCATTTGGTAATGAAATTAAATGGTTGAATAATGAGGGCTGGCAAATGTACGTAGTACGTACATGGTATGGCTTGAATAGTTAACAGTGCACTGCATAAGTTCTTATGAGATATAGATGGTTAAACATTAAATAATTTCGCAGACTCGGGAATAAATGGTTTTAAGGAGAGCAGAAGCCAAATTAAATAGACCTCGTATCCAAGCTGTGTAAATATTTAATTGCTGTCATTAGACGAATCATTGGCCGTGGAATAAAATCTCTGCACAAAAATGCATACATATATATGTGTCCTTTCACTCATATACACATATATTTACACTGCGCTACACACAACTAATTTGCAAATGTATGTAACAAACAACAGACGAATGCTTCTCCGAACTCAAAACTCTCTCTCTTTTAAAATAATGGGTGTATTACCTCAACTTAATTCTTGAGAATCGCAGAGAAGAGCCGCATTCTTGAGAATCGCAGAGAACAGAGTTATTTTTAAATGATTAATCATCATTAAAGAGCGACTTAATGTTCGTCTAAGCTAAGCATCTTTAACGCGATTTACTTCACCCTCTTTTTTTCGTCGAACTAATTCTTTCTTTAGGTGAACGCTAGCGCTTCCTCTCATTATGTTATTTTCTCTCTCTAATCGTCCTTTTAATATTTTGCTATTTCCGCTCTTGATACATCTTCAAAGTAAGTCTCCACCCCGTGCCATATTTAAGTTCTGAAAACAACACAAAGATCGGACTCTAAACACCGAACTGAATTAAGAGTGCCTTTTCCATATATAGTGTGTGGCAATGGTAGAACCTTTGCATAAAGGGTATAATTCCCTGTTCTTGTTTCTAACATATTCTCAGCTGACATGAGCCTAAAGTGTACGTTGTTTAGGGATAATATTACAAATAACAGCATACATACATTGTATATGTATATTGCATACCCGTTAATTAAAGATTCGATTGGTAAGGCAAAGTCAAAGAAGCTAGAACACGTGTATATATTGGTAATCCATGCTCTGAGGCAGGATCTTGGCAAACTATGCCTCGGTACATATGGAGGACAAAGTTGGTAAGGACGAAGATTGTTATTCATCTGTCCTGCTTCAAACTCCGCCCAGAACGAGTTTATACAAACAGAGAGACTCGGCTGATAATGAACAAAGAATTTTGATATGTCAAGGATCCGGCTGACTTGTCTATATCCTTCTATTACATATGTATATGCATTTCAATTGAACCTGATTCGATTAAAGCCCGATTTGCAGTATTATAAAAAATTCCGTTTCATTCGAAATTTAATTAACATTAACATTTGGAATACTTAGGCTCTTTGGGCATGTCGTGCGATTAGCATGGGCATGTTCGGCATAGGTTATTATTGAGGAGGACAGAAAGTCAACGCGTCCACACAAAAGAACGATGCGGGCAGGGGGTCGGAGGAAAGGAACGGGAACGGGCAAGGGAACGGGAACGGGAATTCGCTGCGAAATTTGCATTGTGGATTTGCCAGCATATTGCAGCGCATTTTGGCGTCAAAAGAGTAACAAGAAAGAGCAGAAATTATGAAGACCGAAGGTGTAATGAAAAGACTTGTAGAACCCACCACAGGCCTTTAACTCTGCAACTGATGAGTGTGCGCAGTTTTTGCATACCAGCCGCGACGCAGGCAGAGGCAGAGGCCGAGGCAGAGGCCGGGGCAGAGGCGGGCACTAGAGATGGCCGCGTGCCCGGCACGAGTAGGCACAAGCCACACACAGATTGTCGTCTTATTGAATTTGAATTGGGTTTTGTTTAATCGAGGCGTTAAAGGTTGGAGAGATTAGATGAGATATTCGACAATATTCGACAAAGCTATTTAGCAGTCTCTGAGCAGAGGCCCAGCACTGATCGCATCAAACTCGGATGCTCAATCGATTCAATCGAAAACGGATTGTCAAGTTATCGAGTAGTCGATTTGCATTCAATTGAAGCGAATATTCGTTCGAATCGAACGAGTCAAAATTGTTGGTTTGAATCTCGAAATAGATATTTGACTCGTTCGATCGAGTTCGAGACCGTGCCCTGTCGTGTCTGTTCGTGACTGCACCCATCTCTATCAGCCCCCCCCCCCCCTGCCACCCTCTGCTTGCACAGGGCCCTGTCGACGAGGCGACGACCCGAAACAAAACACGAGCGCGAGCCATAAGCCAAAGCATCGTCGTCAAAGCAAAGCTGCATGCCACTCGATGGTGGTGGTTGATATATCACGGAATTTGTGTGTGGGTGTACTGCATACTGCAAGACGAGCACACAATATAAACCAGTTGAGGAATATGAAAACAGATAACGACTCCACACAGAAATAAAGACGTACAACAACAAGGCACGTGCAACCTGAACACACACACACACTCAGACACACACAGACACAGATTCCAACTCTTACCGCAGATTCAGATGTATAAAGGCAAAAGCGTCAGATCGGAGTGTGGACTATGGAGTGTGGAGTGTGGAGTGTGGAGGAATTGAACACAAGGAGAACAGAACCTTGACTTGCCTTTGTTTTGTTATGCAGCGAAAGGAGAGGCAGTGAACTTTTTATTTCTGCTAGTAGTACGTACAGAGCGAGGCATTCTTAAGTCCCCGTCCATGCGACCTATGTGCAAATTTTCGTCTTGCTTACATTTCTGATCAGCCCAAACTTAATCACAGATTCTGACTTGCATATCAAGTATGTAACAACAAAATGTACAACAAAATAAAGAAAGTAGCGCACACTTATCTAGTCTGAGTACAAATGCAAAGAAAATAGTATTCCAATCCTTGTCCGTGCTAAGTTTTGTGCTTCAAAATTTAATTATATTATACTCAAGTCAAGATATTTAAGATATACGATAGATATTTTAAAATAAGTTTATCGAACAGAGAACAGAGAACCAAAACTTGGTAATAATGTTTTCTGCTCATATTTGGGAGAGAATCTTAAAGCATTTTGCATTTGTTGCAGCCAAATTTCGCTGTGGCGGGTGGAATTTCCAAAATCGCTGAAAACGTATCTATTAAGTGTTTATGTCTGTGAAACACGTCTTAAATGTATTTTTACAAAGATCTTTGAAAATGTTTTTAAAGCCGATCGGATGGTGCTTTGAAAGTAAGTTTGAAAGTTTTTCCAACAGATATTTGACCTTGAATTCAGCAAAAAGTGTGAAACACGCCTCCAATGCATTAGTTCTTAGGTAATTTTGCGAATGAGCTTAAACCCAAAACTTCAACCTTTGACCCGCATTTATCAATCAGCAAGGTGAGATTTCATTCTTAAATGAATTTTTTCACGGATCACTTAAAATGTTGAATCGGATGAAATAAACAAAGAACTTTCATAGAACCGTTTTTCGCAATTTTTGCATTCTTCTGGTTGGAATTTTACATGTTCTTAATATATAATTGTTGTATAAGATCTCATTTAATCGAATCGAAGAATCGAAGCTCAATTGTATATTCTTGGCCAGCATGAACAGCCGAGTTAATCTAGCCAGGTCCATCAGCTTTCCGTCCGTCTGTGCAGTCGGTCGAGTTTGTCTCAAAGGATCGATAAACCGGCCCTTTTCTATACAACCGATAAATTCAATATGCGCTTTGTCAGCAACAATAACCGAGACACGATCTCCTATAACGAGCTCTCGGAGGCTAGAGACTTCAAAATCTGAACTTAGGTTCTTATATGTTCTAGTTTTTTTTTTTAATGATCGATAAAATGTCCCATTTTCTTGTAATCGATAAAAATCGATTAAATAATGGCTCTCTTCCCTCTCTCTCTCTTCAAAATCTGAATTTAGGTTCTCATATGTTCTAGTTTTTATTTTTATTAATGATCGATAAAATGTCCCATTTTCTTGTAATCGATAAAAATCGAAATTCAAATCCTGCTCTCACTCTCTCTCTCGCTCTCTCTCTCTGTCTGGTATTTAACTATGGGAAAGTTCGTCAAAATTGTATGAATTGTTGAATTGTCATTGCTGTCCCTTTTTCATCATTGCAAAGCAAGGCACCAGGCAGGCACCTTGACAGCCAGTTTGCTAACGCACGATCATGGGCAAGACGACACGGGCACGGGGGCAAGGGGACACGCCTATTCGAAGGCCCTATGTGTGTATGTGTATATACACATATGTATATGTATGTACATATAGGAGGGATACCTTTAGCTATGGGTGCTTAGTACCTCCACGTACAATACAAATCGCTTTATGTTGTTACGGGTTTGATTTGTCTCTGGCTCTGTGTGTGTGTGAGTGTGTGTGTGTGTGTGTGTGTGTGTGTGGAGGTTTTTACTAAGAAATCGCCATTGTTCTCAGATTCAGCATAAAAAGTTGCGAATATAAAACAAAAGTGTCACTTGCTGTTCGGTTTTGCCGCCGAGAGACAGCAGCAATCTGAACTTGCATTGTTTTCCCCCTTTTTTTTTTGTTGGTTTTGTTTTTGATGCCGTGGCCAGACTTTCGTATATGCATAAATACATTGCTATATATGCAGCACATACATAAATACATATGTATGTATGTATGTTTGTATGCATGTTTTTCGGCTGTGGTCATTTGATTTTTTTGTCGTTTTCGCTTCCACAAAAGCTCGCAATCATTCATTTCGGTGAGATCAATGGATCGATACGATACACCCGGCAATGGGACAAAAAGGAAGCGGACCAGGCAGCGGCCACAAATACAAATACATATCTGTATGTATGTGTATGTATGTAGTTCGATCTGAGTAAGCAGCCCTGTCTAACGGGCTGAGAGACGGTGATGAACTGTTTTCAAAATTCTCTCGCGCAACCAATTTGGGAAAAAGAACAATAAATATCCTTTACTTTAGCCTCTGCCTCTCTCTCTTTGCGTTCATTAAAATTGTCGCGAATTGTTTCCAACGCATGAATATGTTAATGAATTATTGTCCGCGCACACACACACACACAAACACATTCGCGTACTCGCATTGTCATCGGCCCTGATTCAAGGTGGAGGGGTCACAACATGGGGCCACAGCCGAACCGAACGGATCGGCTCGGATCGGATCGGAACCGTACGACTGAAGAAGAAGAAGATGAGTACCTCCGGGTACAGGAACATCACAAAAAGTGTGAGCCCATTGTTTCGGCTGCGGCCTTCCACGTCCTCAGTATTTGTATTTAAGGCTTCCAAAATGCCGCGTCCCTTGTTTCTGTGTATGTGTGTATGTATGTGTGTATGTATGTGTGTATGAGTTTGTGCATGTGCAGATAATTATGCGTGTGCATACCTAAGTACATATTTACAGATGTACAATCGACGACTATCAGTTACCCTTCACGCATCTATTATACCCTGCACCCATTGAAAAATTTACAAAGAGGGTGTATTGTTTTTGTGCAAATGTATTCAACGGGCAAATATAAGAATTTTCACCCCATAAAGTATGCATATTATTGAAGAGGACGAGTCGATCTAGTCGGACCGTCGATAACTCGTCTCAGTTCCATATTGTCTATAAAAAAAAAAGAGTCAAGTGTGAAATACACATAGCTTCATATGAAGGTTCTCGTTTTTGTTGTCTCCCCAAAATTAGGGTAGAGCCTTGCGCTTCGATATAAACACACTTTTGTATATTATATATCAGACTATAAAGTTATAGACTGCATTATTTATGCTTAGAAGTCGAAGGAGTGTTCTTTGGGCAGCTCCGCTCAGTATCTATTTCTTTCTCCCAATCGGGCCTCCACTCCACCTGTTCACACTAAGGAAAATTGATTTGTGGATAGCTTATGGTATAATTTAGATTTTGACCTTTTCAGTGCGTTAGATGGCAAGTGTGATTAGATATTCCTTAGAGCAGATCGAAAAGAGCATCCTCTTGAAAGAGTATCAATAATTTGAAATAAACTTGATTATCATTCCTTAAGTTAAGTTAAGTCTCTAGCTCTTATTCCTATTCGTACCCTCTATTTATTTATTTTGTTTTCTTACAATTTTAAATATGTAGTTTAAGTACACAAAAGAATTTTTGTTACAAATTATTTTTTTTTAATATGAATAAAAAGTTACAAGAAACTGCTTTTTGGACCCAAAACAAGGTTCACGAAGCACTGGTTCAAACCGTGAACCGAAAAGCCGGTTCAGCTGCAGCGCATTAAGCTACCTCGTTGGATAAAAATAAATGGAACTAGTTCCAACCGACTCGTACCGGCAAGCGAGTCAGTATGTGAGTACAAACCTACAAACATATATACATACATACATACATACATACATACATGCATACATTCATAAGGCTACCGCTGCGACTGATTATGGCATAAGCTACACATAATAATGCACACACATACACGTTAACATATATATACATACATACATATATACATACATACATATAAACATTCATGCCATGTTTGCTGTTACAATCGCCCTCTATTTGCAATGAATAGCCAGTGCCAGATTGAAGGTACACGCACACACACACACACACGCACACCCACAAAGGTATGTGTTTACATCGTCCCTATTCTTGGGACTTAAGACGCGCTGCAGCAGAAAACAACAACAACAAGAGCAACAAAAGTGCCAAGGGAGAGCCGCATTTGAATCCATAAATTCATAAGCGAGCTCTGCACACAATGAGGACTAACAAAATAGGAAGAAGAAGAGCAGGAGGAGGAGGAGGAGGAAAACGATAAGTAGGAAGAGTAAGAGTAAAAAGTAATAATAAAACGAATTAATGCACTATAAATATATATGGACACAATGCAGAAAGGACAAAAACAAAGACAAAAAAATAAATAAAGGAAATAAATACATACATATCCATATATACGTACACACATACATACATATATATTGTATTGTATTGTATGAATTGTTTTCTTTTGCCTCCTGTTCTGAGAAACGGGTGCTGTTGGGTTCCAACATACACACAATGCGGTTCGGTTCACGGTGAGCCTGCAGCGGGCCGAGGGGGTAAATGGCCAAGCCAAGATGATAGACAGAGCAGAGCAGAGCAGCGCAGAGCAGACCAGAGCGCAGTCTGGCAACCATCTAGAGGGAGACAGGGGAATTATATGGCAACAATGACAACAATAGGCAGGCCGTGGCGAGCGATGCAAGATTCGTTCCTTGTCAACTACGAGCCCATATACAACGTTAATGTATTAACACAAACAGACAAACAGATGTCGGACCTGAAGTGAGATCGGTTTATCAATTGCAACTTGCATTTTTTTTTAACCAATTCCATTCATTATAATTCCAACACTTTCCACAAAATAATTTTGCAATCAATTATACAAGAATTTCTTTTGGAAACAAAAATGGTGTCTTTGCAGGATCCAGAGTTTCTTTTAACAATATTGATTCAGGTGTCTTTTGCTCTTTTCTTTTCTGAAATCAACGGCCTTTAACAATTAAGCAGGCGAATTTGTGTAAAAGGAATCGCGTTTTGTTCGTGATCGAGTCTTTATAGTTACTATATATTTCAAATATTCAAATTCAAATTTCATATATTGCCATCTTTCAGGAAGTTTAGATAAACATGTGTCAGTGTGTATATATGTAAAAAGAAGTAGTTGATTGTTGCTTGATAGATTTGTTTGAAATCAGTTAAAATAATAACAGCTAATAAACATTCCTGTAGTCTGGCATTGTATTAGCATAGTACTCATTCTGCTATTGAGTACTTGCTCGTTTTTGTACTCATGCGTGTGCATCTTATAAACACTGGAAATATCCCATTTTGACAGTGAGGTCTATTTTTCATGTACACTGCCAGAAGACAATAAATATGTTTCATACGAATTAATATATTGTGTTAAGACTTAATTCTTAAAGAAGCTTGCACCGAAGTAGTTCCTATAAAACTATTTAAGCCAGATAACATTTGTATTAAGTTGTATTAAAATAGATAACAATTTTACCAATAGTTTTAACTTTAAAGGAAACTCTTACTAGCTCAATTTATTTGCTTAGTTTCTCCAAGAATTATAAAATAATATAAAGTTGTTTGTTTAGTAATAAGTAAAGTAATGGTTGTAGAAATAGTACTAGTAGTGTAGTAATAAAAACAGTCATAGGAATGGCACAATAGTATTAGAAGTAGAAGTATTACTAGTAGTAGTACTAATACTACTAGTAGTAGTAGTAATACTACTAGTAGTAGTAGTAATACTACTAGTAGTAGTAGTAATACTACTAGTAGTAGTAGTAGTAGTAATACTAATAGTAGTAGAAGTAGTAGTGGTAGTAAGAATACTAATAATAGTAGTAGTAATAATACTAATAGTAGTAGAAATGGTAGTAGTAGTAGTAGTACTAGGAATACTAAAAGTAGTATTAGTAGTAATACTAATAGTAGTTGAAGAAGTAATAGTAATACTAATAGTAGTAGTAGTAGTGCTAATAGTAGTAGACGTTGTAGTAGTAGTAGTACTAATAGTAGTAGAAGTAGTAATACTAATAGTAGTAGAAGTAGTAGTGATAGTAGGAATACTAATAATAGTAGTAGTAATAATACTAATAGTAGTAGAAATGTTAGTAGTAGTGTAGTAGTAATAAAAGTCATAGGAATGGCACAACAGTATTAATAGTAGAATTAGTAGTGGTAGTAGTAGTAGTAATACTAATAGTAGTAGAAGTAGTAGTGGTAGTAGGAATACTAATAATAGTAGTAGTAATAATACTAATAGTAGTAGAAATGGTAGTAGTAGTAGTACTAGGAATACTAAAAGTAGTATAAGTAGTAATACTAATAGTAGTAGAAGTAATAGTAATACTAATAGTAGTAGAAGTAGTAGTAGATCTAATAGTAGTAGACGCTGTAATAGTAGCAGTACTAATAGTAGTACTATTAGTTGTTGTAATAATAGTAGTAGAAGTAGTAGTGGTAGTAGGAATACTAATAATAGTTGTAGTAATAATACTAATAGTAGTCGAAATGGTAGTAGTAGTAGTAGTAGTACTAGGAATACTAAAAGTAGTAGTAGTAGTAATACTAATAGTAGTAGAAGAAGTGATAGTAGAAGTAGTAGTACTAATAGTAGTAGAAGGTGTAGTTCTAATACTAATAGTAGTAGAAGTAGTTGTTGTAATAATAGTAGTAGTACACTAGTGCACATTGTTGGAGTAGTATTAGTAGTACCAAAATAAAGTGCGTTTGAAATTCTATTTGCAGAATTTTAAATAAAAGACACGCACATGTATTCATAAATTCTTTCGCCTTGTGCTAGTTTCCACTTGGATTGTGAACGTTTTCTTCAATAACTTCTGTCTTTCCTAATTGATATTAAAAATGTGGATATCATACATATATTTTATTGTGATTCCCATTCAACTAGAAGCTAAATGTCAAATTTGGAGATACTAGCTCTAGAAACATAATCGACACATTACATAACGGTTATCACAAAACCAGGGAATAGGAAGTGTGAAACTTATCTCTGCTAATAGGACCTCAAGTTTAAAGGAAGGCATGCCTAAGTCATGCCAAGGTCGTATACCCTGTATATTTGCTATTGTACTATGGTGTTTATTCTTAGAACAAATTTCATTGGACTTAAATCGTTGGGAATTAATTAAAAACTTACCAATTAAAATAGGTGATGCATTCACCCCATCACAACATTGTGTGCACTGAAAGAAATGAAGAAGAGAATTTAGTAAGCTTTAAAATGATACCAACAACTTTTGTAGTAGTAAGTTATACCGTACAGACTTACAGATATTTGACTGAAATTTCTAAGCCCGATTGATAAAATAATAACAATAAGAATAATCAATAATCGATCAAGATGAATTGCGGACATTCAGGATATGCAAATTCTTCTAAGAAGAGCTTAACACAAAACTAGAAATATATATTTGTTCAGATGATTATCAATATTGTGGATACTTATCTACATATTATTCCGACTATTCGAAGGTTTTTGTACTAAATTATTTGATTGGAAAGCCGAAGTTTGCAACTGGTTTGTTTTTGATTCTCTACTCGATTCGGTTCTCAATTGAAGTCGTAAATTGAAAAACAAATTGAAAAGTTCAAAAAAAAAAAGATGAGAGGTAGAAAGACTTATAGTCTGATCTATACAGAGTATCACACGCAGAGTATGCGCACACGCAGCATCTAAGCTACAGGGTATGTCAATATCAGGTACTTTTTTTCAAAATTTCAAAAAGCTTTAATGGTCGATGTATGATTTTTAAAATTTTGATTAACTTACATCTATGCAGGTACTTATAATTAAATTTGTCAAGAAGAACGATCCGAGTCAAGTCCCCGATTATTTCCGACTCGAGTCGAATTTGATTTGCAGAATTGTCAAATTTCAAATGAGTTCAGAATTTCAGAATGAAGCATCAATCGACACACATAGTTTTGAAGGGAGAAGAAGAAGAAGTTGGCTCGCATTATGTCAGCTGCGTTATAATGTTATAATTCGCCTGTAATTAGGCAGGTAACGGGGCAGACAGACAGCAGAAATTGAGGAACTGATCGCGCAGACTCCGACTCAGACTCAGACGCAGACTCCGACTCAGACATATGATTACCACTTGAGTCACGGATCTGAGCTCGCGACTCTCTGATACACCCAGGGCTACGAGCTACGAGCTACAAGCTTGTTTCTAATTATGTGTTATTAAACGAAATTAGTTTGGGCCGCTATACACTAGCTGAAGGATCTAATAGCTCGGCCATAAGGCTTGCCAGACATCTAATCTTTTTAGTTTTTATACCCTGAACCCATTGAAAATGGGTAAACAGGGTATAATGTAAAGCATCTCCGACTCCATAGAGTATATACATATGTTCTTGATCAGCATCAAGAGCCGAGTCGATTTAGCCATGTCCGTCCGTCTGTCTGTCTGTCCGTATGTATGAACGCAAGGATCTCAGAACCTATAAGAGCTAGAGACTTGAAATTTTAGTTGTAGGTCCTCCTAGTCCCCGCGCAGATCGAGCTTGTTTCCGATATTCGATAACTTGCCCCGTTTCTAAGTAATCGATAAAAATCGAAATCCTGCGTTTTTGAGCAACTTCGGCAAATAAAAAGAGCTAAAATCACCAAACTTGACATGTAGCTTCTAGAATAGTATATATATATCAAGTATCTTTCATTTTTTATACCTATCGCCTGTTGGAAGAAGAGGGTTCAGGGTATCCCCTAGTCGGGAGCTCCCGAATAGAACCTCTTACTTGTTTTATTTTAATTGAATTTGTTTTATTTTCCAATGGATCGATCAATAGATTTTGATCTGCTGACAGCTACAAGTATGTAACTTAATGATTTCTTCTGATCTGTTTAATTTTTAGACATTTCGGTACGATTTTACTTGCTCGCTTGGACGGACGCCCCTTTAGCCGGACACGTGCATAATAGATATATGATTTGTTAAAAATATCTCTCTCGTATTCTTAACTATAAAATCTATACTGCAAAAATTGCCATTTGTTTAAGTAGAAAACAAGATAAATATTCATTTGTAAAAGTAAGTTTTATCTACATGATTATTCAAACTTAGATTAATACGAATAACTGTATAAATCCGACCGCATTCATATTTTATCTTTATTTATTAAATTCATTCTGCACACGAAAGTCCATAAATACACAACTGTACATAAATTGACATACATGCACATACATACACATACACATACATATACATACGTTACATATGCATTGCAGAGTGTACACACTTCGACCTTCCATTGCTCTCGCCGTCTTTCCTTTTTATTGCCACTTTATTTATTTAACCCTTCTCAGCTCCGTTTCTTTTCTTTTTTTTGTTTTTTTTTTTATCGAGCAGTAATTAAATATTGCGTTCACGTAATTGGCTCTATTAATACATACGTATTTGTATGTGTGCGTAGGTGTGTGTGTGTCTGTGTGTGTGTGGTGTGTGTGTATATGGCAACCGCAGAAATCAAGCGCACAATAATTTGCGACCAAGTAACATGTACACACACACACACGGACACACACACACACATGGACACACATGTTTGTTTGTTTGTGGCGCGGCATTTTGCCGGAATCCGTTTGCGCATGATCATGTTAAGCATTAAAAAAAAAATGGAAAAAGTTCATTGCCCAAAAACTGGCAAACGACATAATTCGTGTCGCACCACAAAGAGGTGTTGAACTATTTCAAATGCACGAAACAGCGCCGCCAATCAACCGGACAGCAAATCACGTACACACACACACACACACACACACACACACATATTTATTTTTTATGCCTGCTTGTGTGTGTGTGTGTGTGTGTTTGGTGTGTATCTATAGAGGTGCTTCGCCCAGCAGCAGCGACAAATGTAGAACGATTGAATTAGAGAATTGAAGATTTTATTACTGCGAACAAAATAACAATATTTACTGGTTCCGTTAAGGTTTGGAACCAAAATGAAGATTTCATGGCTGCGAATGAACTAAATATATTTACTGGTTCCGTTCATAATTGGAACCAAATGATGTATGGTCACCCCAGGGTTTGCCTCGTGAACCAGTTTTTCTTTTATTTCGATTTGTAATAAGTACTTTTCCAATTGTATAAAACATATATTTCAGTTTGTATATAGTTCAGTTTGGGACTTGCCTTTGTTAAGAAATAAATGGAAGATTTCATGGCTGCGAACAAAATAACAATATTTACTGGTTCCGTTAAGATTTGGAACCAAAATGAAGATTTCATGGCTGCGAATGAACTAAATATATTTACTGGTTCCGTTCATGATTGGAACCAAATGATGTGTATGGTCACCTTGGGGTTTGCCCCGTGAACCTCTTTTTCTTTTATTTCGATTTGTAATAAGTTCTTTTCCAATTGTATAAAACATATATTTCAGTTTGTATATAGTTCAGTTTGGGATTTGCCTTCGTTAAGAAATAAATGGAAGATTTCATGGCTGCGAACAAAATAAATATCTTGACTGGTTCCGTACAGGTTTGGAACCAAAATGAAGATTTCATGGCTGCGAACATAACAAATATATGTATATTTACTGGTTCCGTTTATGGCTGGAACCAAATGCCTTATGTTCACCTTGGGATTTGCCTCTTTTTCTTTTATTTCGATTTGTAATAAGTACTTTTCCAATTGTATAAAACATATATTTCAGTTTGTCTATAGTTCAGTTTAGGATTTGCCTTTGTTAAGATTTAAATGGAAGATTTTATGGCTGCGAACAAAATAAATATATTTACTGGTTCCGTTCAGGTTTGGAACCAAAATGAAGATTTCATGGCTGCGAACATAAAAAATATATTTACTGGTTCCGTTCATGATTGGAACCAAATGCCTCGTGAACCTGTTTTTCTTTCCTGCGAACATATTCGTCATGTTTTTCTAATTGTATAAATAAATAAATGGAAGACTTCATGGCTGGTTCCGGTCAGGTTTGGAACCAAAATGAAGATTTCATGGCTGCGAACAAAACAAATATATTTACTGGTTCCGTTCATGGCTGGAACCAAATACCTTATGTTCATCTCAGGGTTTGCTTCGTGAACCTGTTTTTCTACATCCACTTAACCAGGCTTTGCTTCGAACACATTCGTCATATTTTTTTCCGATTATATAAAGTATATTTGAATATGTATTTAGTTCGATTCAAGAATTGCCTTTGTTAATAAATAAATTATATTCCTAGCAAGAAACGGCTCGGTTCAAATCCTTTTTGCCGACCAAATACATTTAATCTATATTTATTTGGAGGTCCCTTAATTAAATTATTTATAATTTGAGCACATTCTACCATGATTAAAAAATACATAAAAACATATATAGCATGACAAGAACAGAGAGAGAGAAAGAAGACAAATACAATATATTTTGTTTGAATAATTTTTATAAAATTTATCAAATGGGCCATATATAAAATTAAAACTGATTTGATGGAGGAAATTGAATGGCTGCAAGGACGAAAATGTGTGTATAATATGTGTACGTCTGTATGTAAACTATTTATATACACATATATCCTTAAACTTGGGTATTGTCCTGGGCTACGTTAAAGTGGGGTGGGGTTTTTTTTTTGAAGGCAGTTGATTGATTGGGCACAAATAAACGCGATGTTGATGTTGATATTTACTTGCAGCTTGTGTGTATTGGTTATTATTGATGACTTCATTCCTGTTTTTATCCCTATCATAGAAAATATTTCTACCAAGGAGCTGGGTAATTTTTTTTTAAATCGAAGCTCAGATAATGTATTTTTGAGATTCCTTCGTATGTACGAAATAAACGTGAATATATTGTACAGTACGTCCTCGCTCAACGCAACGATATCGATACATTAAAGGCTAACGCAAACGAAAGTCGGGAGTGCCCGACTATAAGATACCTAGCTTCCTTATGAGCAGCTCCCATAGCGTCTGTGCTTCTTCTTTCAGCCTCACACCGGGATATATACAAAAAGTGAAATTGTTTAATCTCTGTATACTATATACTCTCTCTATATACTCTAGTTCCTTTAAGCTCGTAACTATGCCCGATAACCCAGATTTCAATTACGGTCATTATCGATCTTTATCGATTTTATCGATAATATAAAACAACTCGTACTGTACAACACTAGGAGGAACATTATTATCTTTTTACCCATTTTCGATGAATTCAGTGTTTAGTATATA